CTCAGGGCGGCTAACAACCAGATAAAACAACTACAAAATACGAAATACTACAGTTAAAAACATAATTAAAAGACAAATATTAACAATTGGCCTAAGTAATTTAAAATTATTTTAAAACCCCCGCTAAAAATTTCCCCTAGGCCAGTCCTGCAAGCTGAAATAGCCATGTCTTAAGGGCGCGGCGGAAGGAAGGGAGATCCGGGATCACCCTGATCTCTGGGGGTAGTTCATTCCAGAGGGTGGGAGCTCCCACCGAGAAGGCCCTCCCCCTTGGGGTCGCCAGCCGGCACTGTCTGGCTGACGGCACCCTGAGGAGACCCACTCTGTGGGAGCGTACTTGCCGGTGGGAGGTAATCTAGAAACACACGGGGCCTTCTTGATAGGAGGAAAGAGGCAAAGAGCAGCCATGACCAGGGTGTTATGGTTTACGGTGTGTTGTTGTTGTTTTGGTTACAGGCAAAATCCGACGTGGTACCTGGAGCGGATTGTACTGGATTATCCAGAACTCCTGGGGAAAAGACTGGGGAGAAGAGGTGAGTTGAGTCCCATGGATTGGTGGGAAAAGAGAACGGGATGGAATTCTGGTCAAGTGGTGAAACCAGGAAATGGTGAGTTCTAGTACCTTAGGGACGAAAGCTGGCTGGGTGACTTTGGGCCAATCACCAGGAGACTGTGAGTTCTAGTCCTGCTTTAGGCATGAAAAGTGGCTGGGTGACTTTGGGCCAATCACCAGGAGACGGTGAGTTCTAGTCCCACCTTAGGCATGAAAGTTATCTGGGGAATTCTGGGAGCTGAAATCCCCACATCTGAAAATTGCTGAACTTGAGAAGCACTAGCCTAGTTGATCTTCTGGATACTCTTATTTATTTATTTATTTATTTATTTATTTAATTTGTATACCGCCCTTCTCCCATAGGACTCAGGGCGGTTCACAGCATATTAAAAACAGATAATATACACAAAATACAAAAAATACAAAATACAAAAAAATAAACCCCGATAAAAGCCGAATTAAAACCAAATATTACGAGCTGTGTTTCCGATTAAAATACTTTTAAAATTATCCCTACCTAAAATCCTCCCTAGGTCAGGCCCGCTTGCTGAAAAAGCCATGTCTTGAGGGCGCGGCGGAAAGTAAGGAGATCCGGAATCATCCGGATCTCGGGGGGTAGTTCATTCCAGAGGGTGGGGGCACCCACAGAGTAGGCCCTCCCCCTGGGGGTCGCCANCAACAGTACGTAGACAGCCCAGTTTGTTGCGTTCTTTTGCGGCAGCATGTACGTGTGTTCACACAACTGTTCCCCCTCATTGGACTCTGGGCTGTGACGGCTCAACCCATGTTGGAGCCTCACAACAACCCAACAAGATGGGCTCTGTGTGAATAGGTGGGTGAATTGAACCTGGAGGCAGCGATAAGAAAATAACGTATTTCATGATATGATGCCAAGGGACCTTGGAAGAGACCTTGGAGGTCATCTAGTCCAACCCCCTGCTCAGGCAGGAAACCCTATAGTACCATTTTGGACAAATGGCTGTCCAATCTCTTCTTAAAAGCTTCCAGTGTTGGAGCATTCACCGCTTCTGGAGGCAGGTTGTTCCACTGGTTAATTGTTCCCACTGTCAGGAAGTTTCTCCTTAGTTCTAGGTTGCATCTCTCCTTGCTTAGTTTCCATCCGTTGCTTCTTGTCCTGCCTTCAGGCGCTTTGGAGAATAGCTTGACTCCCTCTTCTTTGGGGCAGCCCCTGAGATATTGGAACACTGCTATCATGTCCCCCCTCGTCCTTCTTTTCGTTAAAGTAGACATCCCCAATTCCTGAAACCACATCTGTTGTTTGATGGAACAGCTCGGCTTGCTTGTAGTAACAACTGAGTGTTTTTGTGCAGCAGCAAATTCAGTTTGGTTAGTGAACTATCTGCGTAGTCGTTAAAACGGTTTCAAAGCAGGGGACTGTTATTTAACTGCCGATGTTAGGAAAAATCCAAAATAATAACGGTGATAAAACTTGGGCTTTTAGAAAAGTCTCGCTCATCTACCCCTTTCGTGGACCATCCTCTGTTTCTTTTCTAGCTGGATTATCATCAAGCAAGCTTTACCCTTACATAGGGAAAAACCAGCGCTGCCAGAAATACAAGGGGCGAAAACTAACCAAGATTGATGGTTACAGCATCCTTCCAAGGGATGAGAGATGTAAGTCTTTGGCAAAGGGCTGGATTGAGACTTCTGAATTATAAGGATCTTGGAGGCACCGGAAAAATTAAGCAGGTTTGCTAAAGATAAAAGACTTTCTGCAGATGAAAAAATTGGAGCGAGAATACAAACATTTATCTGCAAGTCGCTTTTACAGGTTTAACAAATTTTTACACGTTTAAACTCGGATTGCATTGATATGATGCCAAGCCAACAAACAACATGATGGCTTAATACAGGTAGTCACTGACGTACAATCCTTCGTTTAGTGACTGTTCAAAGTTAACAATGGTGCTGAAAACAGTGATTTACAACCGATCCTTGCATTTACAACTGTCGCAGCGTTCCCACGGTCACGTGATCAAAATTCGGATGGCTGCAGCGTCCTGTGGTCATGTGATTGCCATTTGGGACCTTCCCAGGGGGCTTCTGATCAGCAAAGTTAAGGGGGGGGGGAAGCCTGACTCACTTAACAGCAGTGTGATTCACTTAACACCCACGGTGATTTGCTTATCCACCTTGGCAAAGAGGCCAAATTTGGTGTGACTCACTTTAAAACCGCGAATGGACATGGCAAACCACAACTGGCCCCAAATTTATGTGGCTAACTTTTGTTAAGTGAGTTTTGCCCCATTTTACCACTTTTCTTGCCTTAGTTGTTAAGTGAATCATTGCAGCTGCTAAGCTGGTCACCCGGTTGTTAAGTGAATTCTGCTGCTTGTCGGAAGGTGGCAAAAGTCGATCATGTGACCCCGGGATACGGCAAACCATCATCAATATGGACCGGTTGCCGAGGGTCTGAATTTGGATCACGCGACTATAGGGATGCTGCAATGGCGGTGTGAAAAATGGCCCGTAAGTCCCTTTTTTCGGTGCCGTTGTAATTTGGAACGGACACTAAACGGACTGTGGCAAGTCGAGGGCTGCCTGTATTCGGGAGGGGAAATGAATTTAGCTCCCTAAATCCTGACTTTGCTCTCCTAGATTTTGCCTGTCCGAGCTTCGGTGTTAATTTGTGCTGCTTTTCTCCCAGATATTGCTAACATTGTGGCCACTCAAGGTCCCGTAACAGCTCTCATGAACCTCAAAGTCATTCAGGTGAGTGCCAGGTAACATTCTGGTGGAGAAGGAAGGGGAGAAAGAAACTTTTTTTGTTAGCTGGGTTCTTTTGTGGCTGAATTTTCCCAGCCTCCTAACCTCCCAAAGATGCTTTTTTAACGAGGTGACTGGACTTTCTTGTTTTTCTCTGAAGACGTTTCGCTTCCCGTCCAAGAAGCTTCATCAGCTCTGACTGGATGGTGAGGAATGGAAGAATTTATACTCCTTGCAGACAGCTGGTCATTTGCCTTCTTTTAGAACAGGGGCCTTCAAACCTGGCCCTTTTATGACTTGTGGACTTCAACTCCCAGAATTCCTCAGCCAGGCACACGTGCCTGGCTGAGGAATTCTGGGAGTTGAAGTCCACAAGTCATAAAAGGGCCAGGTTTGAAGGCCCCCGTTTTAGAGGGTCGTTGAGGCCACTTGGAGATTTACCCGTGTCCTCAGGGTTTACCTGAGTGATACCAATGGGTGTGGATCCTTCTTGGAACTGCTGAAAGGACTGTGTTCCACACCCGTTTGCACCACTCAGGTGACCCTAAGCGCACAGGTAAACCTCCAAGTGGCCTCAACGACTCTCTAAAAGAATGCAAATGACCAGCTCTCTGCAAGGAGTATAAATCCTTTCACTCCCCACCATCCAGTCAGAGCAGAAGAAGCTTCTTGGATGAGAAACGAAATGAAAAACAAAGTCCAGTTGCCTCGTGAAAAAGCATCTTTGGGACAACCAGGAACTGGATGACCGAGAATCTCCATAGACCTCCAGCCTCCTAACCTGGATTAATCTGAACTCAGGTCAGCTCCAGTATGTATGTGTGGCTTAGTACCTTGACTTCACACAATGTTCGGGCAATCCAGGGTGGAGCTGTTGTATGCCAAAGAAATTCACCGGGTGACTTTGAGGCCAGGCAATTTTTTTTCTCTGCCTGGCCTTCTTCACAGGGCTGTTGTTATAGGCGTCCAAGGAAGGAGAGCCCCTTGTATCTTTGGAGGGAAATAGCCTAAGAAAGAAATAGAGGCAGTCCTTGACTTACAACGGTTCATTTAACGAACGTTCAAAGCTACAACGGCACTGGAGGGGGAAAAAAGACAATTTTTCACACTTGCGATCAAAAGTGATCAAAAATCAAATGCTTGGCCATTGACTCCTATTTATGACGGTCGCAACGTCCTACGGCCACGGGATCCTGTTTTGCGACCTTCCGACGAGTCCGTAGGGAAGCCAGATTCACTTAACAATGGTGTTACTCGCTTAACGACTGCAGGGGTTCGCTTAACAACCAAGTGGCAAGAAAGGTCGTAAGATGAGGCAACATTTACTTAACAGCCGTTTTGCTTAGCAACGGAAATTTGAGGCTCCCTTGTGGTCGTAAGTCAAGGACTACCCGTTTTGCACAAACCTAGGCTTAAGTTTGTGGCTCGCCGTTATGAAAACGCAGAAAAACGGGTCAACCCACAGAGGGTACGTGTGAATGTGCCCCCCCCGGAGCAGGTTCCAGAAAGGATGATTCAGAGAAGCAGAGACCTAGAGAGGTGACCGGAGTTTAACCACCATCCCTCTATGACTAATCGTGGTCTGTTTGGATTCTCTCTGTGCGGCAGCATTACAAAAAAGGCATCATCCAGAGGGCCAAGGTGAGCTGTGATCCCAACCGGTTTGACCACGCGGTCCTTATTGTTGGCTTCGGTGAAGGTAAGCCATGTTTCCTTGGCTATTGGGGCCCACTGGATCCTGGCTTAATTCTCCATTCAGCCCTTGGGGGAGGGGGGGGCGCATCCCACCAGTTTTGAGATGGGAATCATAACCCCAGTTTGAAGGCCATTGGGTTGTTTACCTGAGGCAGTTAAGGCTCGCAATCGCCCAAGGTCCTAAATTTGGAGTTTTAACCAGATTTAGTCTATATTAAAGGTAATATAGAAACACACGGGGCCTTCTTGATAGGAGGAAAGAGCAGCCATGACCAGGGTGTTATGGTTTACGGTGTGTTGTTGTTGTTTTGGTTACAGGCAAAATCCGACGTGGTACCTGGAGCGGATTGTACTGGATTATCCAGAACTCCTGGGGAAAAGACTGGGGAGAAGAGGTGAGTTGAGTCCCATGGATTGGTGGGAAAAGAGAACGGGATGGAATTTTGGTCAAGTGGTGAAACCAGGAAATGGTGAGTTCTAGTACCTTAGGGACGAAAGCCGGCTGGGTGACTCTGGGCCAATCACCAGGAGACGGTGAGTTCTAGTCCTGCTTTAGGCATGAAAGCTGGCTGGGTGACTTTGGGCCAATCACCAGGAGATGGTGAGTTCTAGTCCCACCTTAGGCATGAAAGTTATCTGGGGGAGCTGAAATCCCCACATCTGAAAATTGCTGAACTTGAGAAGCACTAGCCTAGTTGATCTTCTGGATACTCTTGACCTGGATAACGTGGGGAAATGACTTGGGTAAACCAGAACCCAGTTCTGGGGCAGGCAAAGCATCGAAATGTCTCTAAACAACTAGTTGTAAGCTAGGAGAAACTTCCTAACAGTGAGGACAATGAACTCGAGACCAGTGGCTGTCCAGTCTCTTTTTAAAAAAATCTCCAGTGTTGGAGCACCCACAACTTCTAAAGGCAAGCAGTTAATTGTCCTCACTTTTAGAAAGTTCGAAGCTACAACAGCACTGTAAGTGCTTAAGACCGGTCCTCAGACTTACGACCTGCAGCATCCTCTGCGGTCAGAAGTTGTGGGTGCTTCATCACTGGAGGTTTTTAAGAAGGGACTAGACAGCCGCTTGTCTCAAGTTGTATGGGGTCTCCTGCTTGCTTGAGCAGGGGGCTGGACTAGAAGACCTCCAAGGTCCCTTCCAGCTGTATTCTGATTGGTTGAGTGACTGACTGATTGGACTGACTAGCTGTATTACTTAAGNCTCTGCGGTCAGAAGTTGTGGGTGCTTCATCACTGGAGGTTTTTAAGAAGGGACTAGACAGCCGCTTGTCTCAAGTTGTATGGGGTCTCCTGCTTGCTTGAGCAGGGGGCTGGACTAGAAGACCTCCAAGGTCCCTTCCAGCTGTATTCTGATTGGTTGAGTGACTGACTGATTGGACTGACTAGCTGTATTACTTAAGGATATCTGATACTTGAACTGAACCCTTTATCTTTTCGGTTAGGGCTACTTCCGGATGGACAGGGGCTCAAACACTTGTGGGATTGCCCAGTATGCCGCAACAGCAACTGTCCACAACTTGGGAGGACAGAAGCCATCTCCTTGCCCCAGATGATGGTTTGCATGCATCCTGTCTGTCTTTAAGGCAACCGCTTTGGAGCACCGAGTGGCATTCTTTTGCAAGCTTTTGCAACCTGGCGCCCCCCCTAATCCTAACCCTAAACCCCCCTTACTACACCAACTGACTTTCTTGGCTTCTTTAAAAGGCAGGGCTTTCTTGATTTTTCTTAATTTTAAAAGCAACAGGCCAGCAGTGTTAACCTTGTAGAATTTGCCAACTTAACGTTGGAGAAGGACGGATCGGACCCCCAGTTTGGTGCCAAATCCTTGTCGAAAAACCTGGCTATTTTCTGCGCGTGCAGAAGGCGGGTGCGTAGGTGTGTTGTGGACCTGGGGGGAAAAGGAATATCTGAAGGATAAGAGAGACGGAAGCGGAATAACATCCACAGACAGAACGTGTTACACAGGTAGCCCTCAACTTACCGCCGTTCGTTTAGTGACCGTTGGAAGTTACAACGGCGCTGAAAAAAAAAAAGGGGGACTTTTGACCGTTTTTCAAGAGTTACAACTTTTGCAGCCGCCCCAGGGTCACGTGATCAAAATTCAGACCCTTGGCAACTGACTCATATTTGTGACCGCTGCTCTATCATGTGATTCCCCCTTCTGCGACTTTCTGACAAGCAAAGTCAGTGGGTTACCAATGCATCAGCCGGAGTGATTCGGTTAACAACGGTGGCAGGAAAAGTCGCAAAACGGGGCAAAAACCCACTCAAGACATGCCTCGTTTAACGACCGGAACGTTGAGCTCAATTGCGGTCATTTAAGTCGAAGACGAGCTGTCCTGTCAAAATGAAGAAAGCAGGTTGGGAACGTACAATGAACACCGCTGGTTCATTTCCGTACGGAAGGAATAAAAAGGGACCTCATCAAAACAGCCGTGTATTCTCCCCCCCCCCACCAACTCAGGAATCAAAACCATCTTTGGCTATGTATGAATCACCCCCCCAAAAAATAAAATAAAAAAAATAATTCCCCCTCCTCACATTTGTTCCTCTCTTCATCTACCTCCCCTCTCCCCGTTTCAGCTGTGAAAGGAAGATTTTGGCTTTTCGGCCTCTGCATTTTCTGTTTCGATTTAGGCGGTGGGTGGATGTGTTTTTTTCACACCTCCAAAGTCACAAGGTCTATTTGGGTTTTTGTATCTTTATTTCTTTGGGCTTTCCCCCCCCCCCCTTGGTTTCATTTCGTTTCCACTGTGTGCTCCAACCCAATGTGGTTGGTTAATCTGATGTGGCCACCTCATATCCACCTCGTGTTTCTTGCACTTACACATATTTAAACGTAAACATACACAGAGTTGAGGGGGAGGAAAAAGCAAGAACATATTTTGTACAGACTGGATATCCCCAAGTCTGAAGCTGCTGGGCCTATTGGGAAGAATCTGTTCAGTATTCTCAAGGTATACCAATTGGGTTTTTTTTTTTCCCAGATAAACCAGGGCTCTTCAAACGTGGCCCTTTGATGACTTGTGGCCTTCAACTCCCAGAATTCCTCTGCCCTGAGCTAAATGAATCAGAAATGAAAAGCTATTCTTATGCTTAATAACTCTAACTAGAGCAGTGTAAAAACAAAGGATGGCTGTATTCCTTTCTCAAAGGTGGACTTTGACTCCCAGAATTCTTAAACCTGCTGGGGGTAAGACCCTCAACTTTAGGTGGGTAGAGTTTCGTACGACCGAGGGGGATTCTGGGAGTTGAAATCCACCCATCTCAAAGCATGCTGGCTGGGGGATTCTGGGAGTTGAAATCCACCCATCTCAAAGCATGCTGGCTGGGGGATTCTGGGAGTTGAAATCCACCCATCTCAAAGCATGCTGGCTGGGGGATTCTGGGAGTTGAAATCCACCCAACTCAAAGCATGCTGGCTGGGGGATTTTGGCAGTTGAAGTTCACCCATCTCAAAGCATGCTGGCTGGGGAATTCTGGGAGTTAAGTCTACCCATCTTCAGGCATGCTGGCTGAGTTGGAGGGCACCGATGGGTTGCCCATTCCATCTAGAGCATCTGATCTTCTTGAACATCTTTGCAAGCTGACCGTCAGGATGCCACTTTTAAGGCAGCAAACCTTAGACCAGTGGTTCTCAACCTGTGGGTCGTGACCCCATTTGGGGTCGATCGACCATTTCACGGGGGTCGCCAAGCAAGACTGTCCGCCATTTTTTTTCCCTTTTCCGGCGGGTGCCTTACCTCCCTTGGGCTGGGCCAGCTGGTGGTCAGCCTGCTCCGTCTCTGCCGCTTGCCAGCTATGCCTCGGCCGGCGCAGGGGGCGGAACCACGCATGTGCGGCGCTCCCGGGCAGGGAAAGTCCTCGACTTACAACCGGTTGGGTAGTCCTCGACTTACGACCGGTTTAGTCCTCGACTTACGACCGGTTTAGTCCTCGACTTACGACCGGTTGGGGTCGCGGCATTAAAAAGATTGAGAACCACTGCCTTAGACTGTCCTTGGGGTCCGGGTGCCCAACTAGGATCACTTTTAAAGGGGTTGAAATGGGGGGGGGGGAGAGGAGGGAGGCTGAATAAATTACCCAGAGAGTACAAGAAAACAACAACAACAGAGGACTTTTGAGAAGGGAAACGAGATCTCTTCTCATAAACCAGGCTGTTACTGCTAGGAGGAATATGACTGTCAGCTTCGAATTCACACCGTGAATAAGGGTGTGAATAATAATAATAAAAAAAAGCCCACAAAGATGGAAAAAAAAGCTGGCAGGCTTTTGATGCACGTTGCCGTTCCCCTGGTGGCAAAAATGAAAAAGAAGAAGAGAAAAGCCAAGTCTAGCAAATAGGAAAGAAAAAAACAGAGAGCCTTGCTTCCAGGAAACGAGGGGGAGGAAGGGCAACCCCCGTGCAGATAGTCCTCGACTTACAACCCTTCATTTTGCAACCACTTCAAAGGTCAACGGCACTGAAAATAGTGACCGACCACCGGTCCTCACACATACGACCGTTGCAGCACCCCCCCAAAGTCAGGTGATCCAAATGCAGGTGCTTGGCAGCTGGTATGTATGTATGCCAATTGCAGCATCCCGGGGGGGTGTCACCTGATCCCGTTTTGTGACTTTCCCCAAGCCAAGTCAATGAGGAAAGCCCGATTCGCTTAACGACGGCATGATTCGCTTAACAACCGCCGTGCTTTGCTCAACAGCCGTGACAGAAAAAGGGCGTGGAATTGGGCCCCGAGTCACTTAACAGCTGCCTTGCTTAGTAACGGAAATTCTGGTCGTGAAGTTGAGGACTATCTGTAAAACTGGCTTCAAGAAGCACAAGGCGGGAGGTTTTTGCAAGACCTGAACCAGGAGTGTCCAAATCTGGCAACTTTTAAGGCTGGTGGACTTCAACTCCCAGAATCCCCAGTCTGATGCCTCCCTTCCCCCGGTGGTTTGACGGCAGGACGCCAACGAAGCGCCAAGCCGAGGACGGTGGATCTGACCAAGTGTGTCTGGCTGGGGAATTCTGGGAGTTGAAGTCCACAGGTCTTAAAGCTGTCTTAAAGTTGTCCTAAACCAGGGGGTCTTCAAACTTGGCCCTTTTAGGACTCGTGGACTTCAACTCCCAGAATTCCTCAGCCAGCATGGCTCAGCTTGGAAACCTCTCCCTTTCCCCTCAGCATGGGAGTTGAAGTCCACGAGTCATAAAAGAGCCAAGGTTGCCTACCCCTGGTCTAGGACGACAGTAGCTCATCCAAGCAAGCAGGGAAACTTTGGCCCCTTCCTGACTCGTGGACTTCAACTCCCAGAATTCCTGAGCCAGCATGAGGGAAACTTTGGCCCCCTCATAACTCATGGACTTCAACTCCCAGAATTCCTCAGCCAGCATGGCTCAGCTTGGAAACCTCTCCCTTTCCCCTCAGCATGCCTGGCTGAGGAATTCTGGAAGTTGAAGTCCACAAGTCCTAAAAGGGGCCAAGTTTGAAGACCCCTGTCCTAAACCAAGAGTTGTATGCTACTCAGGTCAGGAAAGTACCCGTGTTTCCTCGCAAATAAGACCGGGTCTTATATTAACTTTTGCTCCAAAAGACGCGTTAGGGCTTGTTTTCCAGTTAGATCTTATTTGGGGGGGAAATACGGTGCTAAATGCGTCCATCTGGCTGACGATCTCAACTGGGGCTTATTTTTGGGGTGGGGCTTATATTATGAGCATCCTGGAAAAAAAAATCAAGTTAGGGCTTATTTTCCAGTTGGGTCTTAATTTTGGGGGAAACACAGTACAGCCAAGGGATCTTTCCTTGCCGAACCTCTTGTTCAAGAGGGAATGCTCCTTCCCTTTAGCCTGGAGAATAAATATAATTTATTGGGCTGTTCGCACTGCTGTTCGGCAGCTTCCTTTCCCAAGTCTGCTCATTCTAACCTGCCTGGGTGGGACTTGCTCCTTAAAGCAGCAAACGGGAATCTTCTTCCAGCCTTGGGGAAGAGGCTACTTCTTCCAGCACTGGGACTCCTCTCCCCCTGTTCCTGGCCGCTGGGTCGAGGCGGTCAAGAAAGACTGCGCTGAGATGGATGAGCTCGGGTCCTCCCCTGGGAGGCGGTTCACACAGCTGTCAAGCCTTCGCTCACCGGCATGCTAATGTGGGCCGTGAGCAGCGGCTGGCTGCTGCCTCCCTGGAGCACAAACACCTGCATTGGAAAGAGAGGATACAGCTGAAGGTCAAGGAGATTGAAAGAGGAGGGGTGTGTGTGTGTGTGTGTGTGTGTGGAATTGCTCCCTTGGAGGAAGGGAACCCACAAATATTGTGGAGCGCAGAATGGCAGACGGAGGCCTGCAGAGGAAATTTGACGATCGAGGTAAACAAGTCACAGCGAGTGGGGCTGTGAGCGCCGGCCCCCGACGCTCATGTGAATCATCCGGTTGCGAATAGGCCACGGCCCGGCAGTGGACCACAGCCCACAGGTTGGGGACCCCTGTTCTAGTCCAACCCCTAGAACGGAACTCCTGCTCAAGCAGGAGACCTTATTCAAGTAGTCCTCGACATACAACGGTTCCTTTAGTGACTGCTCAAAGGTACAACGGCACTGAAAAAAGTGACTTGGGACCGTTTTTCAGAGTTACATCCTTTGTACCATTCCCCGTGATCGTACGATCAAAGTTTAGATGCTTGGCAAGTGGCTCATTCTTATGACCTTTGCTGTATCCCAAGGTCATGTGATCGCCTTTTACAAATATTCCAATCAAACGGCTGTCCAGTCTCTTCTTAAAAACCTCCAGTGATGGAGCACCCACAACTTCTGGAGGGAAGTTGTTCCACTGATTATTTAATAGAATAACAAGAGTTGGAAAGGACCTCAGAGGTCATTTAGTCCAACCCCCTGCTCAAGCAGGAGACCCTATACCAGGGGTAGGCAACCTTGGCTCTTTTATGACTTGTGGACTTCAATTCCCAAAATTCCTGAGCCAGCATGGCTCAGCATGGAAACTTCTCCCGTTCCCCTCAGCATGGCTGACTCAGGAATTCTGGGAGTTGAAGTCCACGAGTCATAAAAGAGCCAAGGTTGCCTACCCCTTGCCCTAGACCATTTCAGACAAATGGCTGTCTAGTCTCTTCTTAAAAACTTCCAGTATTGGAGCATTCACCGCTTCTGGAGGCAGGTTGTTCCACTGGTTAATTGTTCTGTCAGGAAATTCCTCCTTAGTTCTAGGTTGCTTCTCTCCTTGATTAGTTTCCATCCCTTGCTTCTTGTCCTGCCTTCAGGCGCTCTGGAGAATAGCTTGACTGCCTCTTCTTTGGGGCAGCCCTTCTGATATTGGAACACTGCTTTCAAATCACCCCTAGTCCTTCTTTTCATTAAACCTTCTTTTCATTGAACTAAGAGTTGGGAAAACTAACTCAAGGACACCAACCTTAATAACATCCGAGATCGCTTGGTCACTGAGACACTCGACAAAGGTGGCCAAAGGATAATTGAGTCCTGGGATCAACATGGGAGCCTGAAAAGAAAGTTGAAAAAAAGAGAGAAATAAATACAGATAATCCTCGGCTTACAAACATTTGTTTAGTGACCATTCCAAGTTGCAGTGGCACTGTAAAAAGGGACTTACGACCGCTCTTCACAGTTACAACTGTTGCAGCTTCGCCATGGTCCCCTGATCAAAATTCAGACACTTGGCCAATGGCTCCTATTTATGACAGCTGCAGGCTCCATTGTGGTCATTAAGACGAGGACTGCCTATATAGTCATTATCCTGGATCTGGAGCACACAGGAAGACGGCCTAAAGTAGGCCTGGGTGATCTGTAGTCCAGCATACCGTGAAACTTATAAGTAAGTGGCATGAATCCAATGATTGTACTGAGGAATACAGGCAGCCCTCAACTTACAACCATTTACTTAGTGATCATTCAACATTTCAATGGCACTGAAAAAAGTTACGGGTCTTTTTGCATTTAAGGCTGATGCAGCGTCCCTGCAGTCATGTGATCAAAATTCAGGGGCTTGGCAACTGAGATGTATTTATGACGGTTGCATGATCCTGGGGAATCACGTGACACACGCACACCCACGCCCCAGTTTTCAAACTTCCAAGACAGCTTCCAACAAGGAAAATCTCAAGGGGGGAGAGGGAGAGAGCCAGGGAAGGGTGCAGTGTTACCTTGAAGAACGGGCGCTCGACGGAATAATGGTTTTCGTCGTAAATGAAGCAAATGAGAAGATTTGCTATCGCCCGAGTCTCAGACATGTTCTGGAGATTGAGACACAGTTTGAAAGTGGGGCCCATGCCCTGCACCTGGAGAGGGAGGAAGAGGAAGAGGAGGAAGCAGCATTAAATGAGGACAAAGGACCTGGGGCAAGGAGAGAGACCCCAAAAAGGAGAGCTTCTCTCCCTAAGCCAAAAAGCCTTTCAATTCTGGAAGTGCCAGAGAGAGCGAAAATATTCTCAATTATTCTAAATTGATTTCTCTTTTGGAAATTGTGTTTGCAGAGGCGACCTCTAGCAATCAAAACACCTTCGAAACCCCATGTTTCTTAAGTGTGGCAACTTGAAGCTATGCGGACTTCAACTCCCAGAATTCCCCAGCCAGTTTGGTTTAAGATGGATGGACTTCAACTCCCAGAATTCCCCAGCCAGTTTGGTTTAAGATGGATGGACTTCAACTCCCAGAATTCCCCAGCCAGCATGGTTTAAGATGGATGGACTTCAACTCCCAGAATTTGCTGATAAGCACTCTTAGCTCTCAGAATTCCCTAGCCAGCGTGCTGGGATCTGAAGTCCATCCATCTCAAAACAGGCTGGTTGGGGTTTCTGGGAGTTGAAGTCCATTCAGCTTAATTAATTAATTAATAAAAATGAGCCTTAAGCAGTCGGTGCACGAAATCTCTCCGGGAGAGACAGCGGAATGGCTGGCTGGGGAATTCTGGGGGTTGAAGTCCACATATCTTAAAGTGGCTTAGGTCGAGAAACATTGTGCTAGAACACATTTTATTTCTTTATTTTTTTTAAAGTATGTTTTATTAATTTTTTAACATAATCACCTTAATATTCAGTAGACAGTGCGTTGTCTGGGTTTACATTTATGAAACATTCACTAACAATTAAATTCTATAATCTATAATCCACATAATAACTTTGCTTGATCTCCTCTTTTCCCACAGTGTTCTCTTTTACCAACCTTAAGTAAATACAATTCCTACTGTTTTAATAAATGATAATTAAATATAAAAGTTTTCTGATATTTCTACAAATAATAATCACATCAATATAATACTCCTTTTCTATCTTGTAGTCATTCTGGTTGTCTCATCCTATATCCTGTTTACAGTCCTTGTTTACGTTTGTCTTTCCCCCAATGTTCTAAACATTTTTACCGGCTAAGATCCTCTCAGAATTAATTACATTTAATATATTTAAATCTGTTTTTCTCATGTAAACCAACCCAATACTTTTTACCTGTGCTAGAACACATTTTAAGCAGCGTGGACTTCAACTCCCAGAATTCCCCATCCCCACAAATGGAAGCCAATGCACACAACCTTGATAATATTGATAATTATGAGGATGCAATTGAGGCCCAGGGCATTCCTGAACTCATCCACAGCCTCTTAATGGTTTCCTCACCACGGCGTTCAGCTTGAGTGGCTCCTGCAGGGACTCCGAGACGGGGGCCATGCTGCACTCCAGCGCCCGGACGTAAGCGCGGGCCGCCGTGAGACGGATACGGCTGAGGTCTGTCTGAAAGACGTGGTGCATGGCTGGGAAAGGAAAGGAGAGAGGAGGATGAACGGAAGGCAGGCGAAGGAGTCCTTCTATTGGGCCCCCTCTTACTACACAGGTAGTTCTCGACTTACGACGGCAACTAAGCCTGAAATTTCTGCGGCTAAGCCAGACATTTGTTAAATGAGCTTTGCCCCATTAAACGACCTTTCTTGCCACAGTTGTTAAGTCAATCAGTGCAGTTGTGAAGTTAGTCACACAATTGTTAACGGAGTCTGGCTTCCTTATTGACTTTGCTTGTCGGAAGGTCGCAAAAGGGGCACCGTCATAAATAGGAGTCAGCTGCCAAGCGGCTGAATTTCGATCACATGACCTTGGGGATGCCGACAATGAGACTGGAACTCACTGTCTCCTGGTGACTGACATAAAAATCACCCAGCTGGCTTTTGTGCCTAAGGTGGCACTAGAACTCACCATCTCCTGGGGATTGGCCCAAAATCACCCAGCCGGTTTTTATGCCTAAGGTAAGACTAGAACTTACCGTCTCCTGGTGACTGACTCAAAGTCACTCTGCTGGCTACTGTGCCTAAAGCGGGACTAGAACTCAGGATCTCCCAGTTTCTAGTCTAGCCCCTTCCCCTCTACACCAAGCTGGCTCTCCTATCAATATCCAGACAGTGTTTGAAGGTAGACAATAGGCCTGAGAGACGGACCACTGGATTTCCAGCCTGTTCGGCTTACCCACTCCACATTCTCGCTCCCGCAGAGTCTGGTCCACGTAGAGTTTTGTTTTTTTGGGGACGTTGAGTTTGGCGCTCTGGGCAACGGGGACACCGGCTGCTGCGTCCCCCTTATGGAAAGTGCTAGTGCGTTTCAAGATCTTGATGATCAGACAGCCACCTAGAGACGACGTAAAAGTTTGAAGAGGGATGGATAGAGGCAGCACGGAGACTGCGGAAAGGCTAGCTGTCCTGCTCACATTAAGAAGGAAAAGGCTTAACCCGCAAGCTTAACCAGGCCAAGGAACAAACTAGATAGAGGCTGCATTTGACCAAGATACTAAATTTAGTTATTTTCAGTCTGGTTAGGTTTATGGGTGGCTTAGCATCTTGCAGAAGCCTCAGATCTTTGATTAGATTTAGCAATATCCAGCCAGAAAAAGGGTGAATTCAAGTTTAGTGAATTACATAAGCTGCAGGAACATAGCTGTAGTCCTCGACTTACGACCACAACTGAGTAAAGTCAACGGAGAAGGTTGGATTCAATGAACATCTGCCTGATTCCCTTGACAAGTGCTGTGATGGGATCCCCAGCCTTGCTTCGTTTACATTCTCACCTTTGGTCGTCATGATGAGGGTGTTGTCCTCTCGCCCGTAGTGGCCGAAAACGATGCTGGTGACGACATCCTAGCGAGAGTCAGAAAAAAGCCAGGGAAATCGGTCAGCGGCGAGGGAGCGAAATCGGAAATGTTTGAGAGGGGGATGAGCTGTTTTTTGCTGGATACGTCCGAGCACAATCTGGACGTCGTATGTGTGAGAGGCTCTCTAGCTAGTCCTCGATTTACGTCCATCATGCAGCTTGCCCTTACAGACATCAGTCGCGATGGTCACGAAGAGGATCGCCACAGGTCTAACCCAATTTTGCAACCTTTGTTTTTTTTGATGGTGGCCATGGGAGTGGAACACAGTCCTTTCAGCAGTTCCAACAAGGCTCCACATCCATTTGCTCCACTCAGGTGACCCTGAGGACACATATAAACCTCCAAGTGGCCTCAACGACCCTCTAAAAGGATGCAAATGACCAGCTGTCTGCAAGGAGTATAAATCCTTCCATTCCTCACCCTCTGGACAGAGCTGAAGAAGCTTCTTGGATGAGAAGCGAAACGTCTTCAAAGAAAAACAAACAACTGGTCATTTGCCTTCTTTTAGAGAGCCGTTGAGGCTACTTGGAGGTTTATCTGTGTCCTCAGGGTCACCTGAGTGGCGCAAATGGATGGGGAGCCTTCTTGGAATTGCTGAAAGGACTGTGTGTTCCACTCCCATTTTTGCACTACTCAAATGACCCTGAGGACACAGATAAACCTCCAAGTGGCCTCAATGACTCTTTAAAAGGATGCAAACGACCAGCTGTCTGCAGGAGTATAAATCCTTCCACTCCCCACCATCCAGTCAGAGCCGAAGAAGCTTCTGGGAGGAGAAGCGAAACGCCTTCAAAGAAAAACAAGGAAGTCCAGTTGTCTCATGAAAAAAGCACCTTTGGGACAGCCATGACCTGGAGGATGGGGCATCTCCATAGACATTAGCTCAGGGGTCTTCAAACTTGGCCCTTTTATGACTGGTGGACTTCAACTCCCAGAATTCCTCAGCCAGGCACGCGTGCCTGGCTGAGGAATTCTGGGAGTTGAAGTCCACCAGTCACAAAAGGGCCAAGTTTGAAGACCCCTGCATTAGCTCGACAGGATTTCAACAAATATTCCCAAAGCTTACCGGCACTTGGATGACATTCACCAGGTTCTTGTCCCGATAGACGTGAACTTCCCTGTTGGACAGGGCCACCAGCACAGCCTGGAAACTTTGAAATTTCTCATCCATGAGTCCCAAAGTGATGGGGGTAGCTGGCAACGTCACTGCCCAGAGCTTCTTTCCCTGGTACAAGAAAATGGGGTGTGTGTGTGTGTCAGAAAGGCATAAAGTCTCGTGGTTGAGCAGGGGGTTGGACTAGATGACCTCCGAGATCCCTTCTAACTCTGCTAAGGTGTGTGTATTCCTTCCCTTCCTGGAGGAGTTCAGGCAGAGCAACACTGCCCCCTGCAGGCTTGCGAAAGACTTTGGGGAGGAATGCAGGCAGTCTTTGACCGACGACGACCGCAATGGGAGACATTGTGTAAGACATTGTGGTCGTAAAGCGAGGCATCACCACGACTGGACTCCATTTTACAATGGGAGTCGTAAAGCGAGTCCTTACACTCGTTAAGTCGATCCATTCTTCCGAATGGGTGTTGGCTTGTTTGTTTTTCTAGAAAACTGGCAGAAAATTGATGCAAACAAACAAGAAAGTTGTTACAATTGTGGTTGTGTGTGTGACCACGGGACGCTGCAACCAGTTGAAAAAAGCAAGCCGGAGAGATATGGATTGTTTATGAAGATTGAATGTAATTCAGTTACGTATAAGCTAAAAATTTATTGATAAATGTAATAATGATGTTTTTATTGATTTGATATCATTAGAAATGTACTAGCTTGAATACGAGACAGTAAAAGTTAAGGGGAAAAGAGAAGAAATAGCTGATGTTGTAACCTGAGATTTGCACTAAAGATTTTGTTATTGAGCTATTGATTAACCCAGTCACCACGTTGCTTTTTAAATACTCAAATGTAAAATTGGAAAACTAATAAAATATTATATATATAAAAAAGCAAGCTGGATGCCAAGGGCCCCAGATGCCATTACATGAATGCAGGGGTTTTGTGTGGCAGCCGTAACTTTGAGGCTGGGTCCTAAGCAGCTTTTTAAAAGTCCATCATAACTTCAAATGCTCATTAGCGGCCAGTCGTAAGTTGAGGACTATCTGGACTTTACTTCTTGGGGATCTAGCCGCTGTATAGTTGCAACCAGGGGTGTAGAAGTTTATGAACTGTAGGCCTGTTTTGCAAGGGGGGGAAACTATTATTGTGCTAATATTTCTATCAGTGTTCAACTTGGGGGGGGACAACATACGTAGATGTTTTGGTCTTGCTTTTAAGGCACCATTTTTAAAAAATGTCTTGTTTTGTCTTTGTGACCATTTTTTTAGATTTAAAGTTCATTTTAATTTCGGGGAATAAAAACAAATGTAGAATTAAAAGAGAATCTAGCTGCTTTAGACTCCAGCTATGTTCGGATGGCAGATTCGGTTTGGTTTTCACATGGTTTAAAGGGAGTTGCTAAGCTGTGTGTGAACACACACCCACGCAGCAATAACTTGCCTGCGGGCACAACTCGCTACCCCCTCCCTCCTAACCTTCTGGCTGTAGCCACGCAGCGTCTCATCTGAACACGCCACCATGATGTTCTTTTGGACTCGAACCAAACCCACCGCCTGGGAGCTCAGCTCGATGCAGTACTTGGGCCGTTTGGAGTCCCTGTGAGAAAAAATAAAAGGGGAAAAATCTCAGCACGACACGAACGGGACGGGGGCCTCGGTTCCAACTGGGCAGAAAATGCAAAAAAATCTATCCAAGCACTTCTCATCAATTGACAAGCCAAACTTGGGCAATTTTAAGCTGCGTGGAGTTCAGCTCTCAGAATTCCCTAGCCAGCATGCTTTAAATCAGGGGTCTTCCAACTTGGCCCTTTTATGGACTTCAACTCCCAGAATTCCTCAGCCAGCGTGCTTCAAGATGGGAGGACTTTGGCTCCTAGAATTCCCGAAATCAGCATATTTTAAGGCAGAGGTCCCCCAACCTTTTGGGCACCAGGTTCCGTGAAGAGAGGTTTTTCCGCGGACCGGAGGGTGCGTGGTTTTGTGTCCCGCGGATAGGGCTTTGTTTGTTTGTTTGTGCAGACTGGTTGCTGGCATGCCACGGTCCGGTACTGGTCCACAGACTGGGGGTTGGAGACCCGTTTTAAAGTGTGTGGACTTCAACTCCCAGAACCCCCTAGCTAGTAAGCTTTAAAATATCTGGACTTCAACTCCCAGAATTCCCCAGCCAGCATGCTTTAAGGTGAGGACTTCAATTCCCAGAATTCCCTGGTCAGCATGCTATAAATGGGTGGACTTCAACTCCCAGAATTACCCAGCCAGCATGCTTTAAGGTGAGGACTTCAACTTCCAGAATTCCCCAGCCAGCATGCTTTAAGACTGGTGGACTTCAACTCCCAGAATTCCTTGGCTGGCTAGGGAGTTCTGGGAGTTGAAGTCCACCCATCTTCAAGCTGCCAAGGTTGCAAAACCCTGCTTTATTGTGTCCTTTCCCTTCCCATTCTTTTCCCAGTCTGCAACAATCTCTCACAATACAGCCAGCTTACACAATTATGGCTTTTCTAAACTATGATGTTTATTATGGGATGCTCTGGGAAGGGGCTGGGGCCCGTGGCTTGAATGTGATTCGCCTACTGTCTGTTTTAGAGCAGCCCCGTTGCCACTGGGGGGAATCACACACCTGCGAAGGATGTAAATGCTACCGTTCCGACATGCCACGGTGAGATGGTACTCCACGTCAAACTGGCCGGCGACGTCCAAAAAGGCGGGCACGCTTGGTATGGCCACCTAAGAGGGGAAAACAGAGTTCTGAGCCTTTGGTTGGACTTCTGCACGCGAGGCCTGGGAGGGAGGACTGGACACGATGGCTGAATTCTCACTCTGCACCAAAGCAGGACTTTTTAGACCAAGGTGGTTGCCTTCAGCACAGCCTGTGAAGCCGGACTGGTGTTGATTCAGGATTGTTGTTTTTCTGACCCGGGCTGTTTGGTTAATACAATATCGGATTTGAGAGATGGTAGGGACCCCAAAAGTGGGTTAATTGTGTAACCAGGTTAGGTAGGTTGGGTGGAGGAGATGAGGGGGAAGTAGGTGGGTTTGGGAAGGAAGGTTTTGGCTGCCTCCTAAAACAGGGGAGTCTAGCCCTGGCATCTTTAAGACTGGTGGGACTTAAACTCCCAGAATTCATCAACCTGCCAGACATTTTAAAGCATGTTGGCTGGGGAATTCTGGGAGTTGAAGTCCACCCATCTCAAAGCATGCTGGCTGGGGAATTCTGGGAGTTGAGGTCCACCCATCTCAAAGCATGCTGGCTGGGGAATTCTGGGAGTTGAAGTCCACCCATCTCAAAGCATGTTGGCTGGGGAATTCTGGGAGCTGAAGTGCACCCATCTCAAAGCATGCTGGCTGTGAAATTCTGGGAGTTGAAGCCCACCCATCTTAAAGCATGCTGGCTGGGGGATTCTGGGAGTTGAAGCCCACCAGCCTTAAAAGTGGCCAGGGTTGGACGCAGCCCTGCCCTAAAGCCTGACAAGATCCACAATCTTAAAAGCCAGAATCTTCCGAATATGGATGGACGCCTTCTCTATGCCTTGGGATATTAATTTTGTCAATACCTTTGAGAAGCAAGGAGAGGGTGCTACATTGCAAAGGGGGTACACAGTGCGCACAAGTCAGGTTTGGAGCCTCACCTTTGACAGGATGGTGAAGGCTTCGGGGTCCAGAATGAGGATTTCCATGTTCTCCGTCCCGACTACCAAGCAGCTGATGGCGTCCTCATCCACCCTGCTTTTTTTCAAAGTGGACATGCAAGTGATCACCGTCTGAAAGACACCCGCAGGGCCCGGAAAAAAAATCAAGATGACGCTTATTCCATTAACCAGCCCACAGAGTTACAGGCAGTCCTCGGCTTACAACCACGAATGAGCCCAACATTTCAATTGTTAAGCGAGACCTTTGTTAAGCGAGTTTTGCTCGATTTTACGACCTTTCTTGCCTCAGTTGTTCAGTGAATCACTGCAGTTGTTTTTAGTTTATTTTTTATTATTGTTTATACATTTTATTAGATTACGGGGCAAAATACGAAACATGAGGTAAATAGTGGGACTTCGGGGAATCGGTGCAGTTGGCTAAGTTACTAACGTGGTTGTAAAGTCCATGGGGAAGCCAGATTCGGTGTGACTGACTTAACAACGGCAGTGATTGACTTAACTGTGACAAGAAAGGTCGTAAAATGGGGCAAAACCCCCTTCACAAATGTCCCGCTGGGCAACAGAAATCTTGGGGCTCAGTTGTGGGTGTTAGGTTGTGGATTGTTTGTGTCATCCCTGAACAGTTTTGCAGTGACAGCAATCCTGCGAGGTAGGCTGGGCTCTCTGATTGGTCAGCCACTTTTCTGGAATGGTATAGGGCAGGGGTAGGCAACCTTGGCTCTTTTATGACTCGTGGACTTCAACTCCCAGAATTCCTGAGCCAGCCATGCTGAGGGGAAAGGGAGAGGTTTCCAAGCTGAGCCATGCTGGCTCAGGAATTCTGGGAGTTGAAGTCCACAAGTCATGAGGGGTCCATAGTTCCCCCACACTGGCTCAGGAATTCTGGGAGTTGAAGTCCACGAGTCATGAAGGGGCCAAAGTTTCCCTCATGCTGGCTCAGGAATTCTGGGAGTTGAAGTCCACGAGTAATGAAGGGGCCAAGGTTTCCCTCATGCTGGCTCAGGAATTTTGGGAGTTGAAGTCCACGAATCATGAAGAGGCCAAAGTTTCCCTCATGCTGGCTCAGGAATTCTGGGAGTTGAAGTCCACGAGTCATGAGGGGGCCAAAGTTTCCCTCATGCTGGCTCAGGAATTCTGGGAGTTGAAGTCCACAAGTCATGAAGGGGCCAAAGTTTCCTTCATGCTGGCTCAGGAATTCTGGGAATTGAAGTCCACAAGTCATAAAAGAGCCAAAGTTGCCTAACCCTGGCCTAAAGTCACCCCACAAGCTTCCATGGCTGAGTGGCTGAGACTAGCTGCTTCTTAGGCCAGGATCTTCAGTTCACAACTTTTCTGGGAAGGGGGAAAGTTTTAAGGAATAATGGGGGGGTCTCTGCTTCACCGGCTGTGTTGTTAGATTCATGAGTACAGACCTGACGTTTGATGGGCTGGAACTTATGCTGGTTCACAAAGGACTCCATGTCAGGGGGCTCAAGGGTCAGGAACCTGCAGAGCAGAGGGAAGGCGGTTACAGCAATACAGGGGATCCTCGACTTTAACAGGATCGTTTTTCACACTTATTTTTTTATATATGTATTTTATTAATTTTTATAGGATTAGGGTTGGGGTAAAGGTTAGGATTAGGGTTAGGGTTTTTTAAAAATAACATTCTTAATATTTAGCAAACAGCACGCTGTCTGGGTTCATGTATTTAAAAAACAATAAGTTATAATTTCTATATTATCATAATTAATATGTTATTTAATCGCTCAATAGTCTTCTTACTAGTATATAGTCAATGTTACATAGTACATATCACGTTCCTTTCTAACTCATTTTTCTAGCCATTGATAAAAATTGTCCCATGTTCTAAAGTATACTGAGTTTTTCACATTTATGACTATTGCAGCGTTCCCTCACAATCACGTGATCAAAATTCAGAGGCTTGCCCACTGGTTCATATTTATGACCGCTGCTGTCCCCCCAGGGTCATGTGATTACTCTTTGCGACCAAAGTCAATGGGGAAGCCGGATTCACTTAAAAAGCCATGTTATTAATTTATAAACCTCTACACATCTACAGATAGCCCCTGACTTACAACAGGGCATTTAGTGATCATTCAAAGTTACAACGGCATTGGGAAAAAGCGAGTTACGACCGTTTTTCACACTTACGACTTGCAGCATCCCCACCCATGGTCACGCGATCAAAATTTGGACCCTTGGCAACTGATTCATATATACGACGGTTTGCAGCTTCCCGTGGTCACGTGATCCCTTTTGCGACCTTGTGAGAAGCAAAGTCAATGGGGGAGCCCGGATTCACTTAACAACCGTATGATTAACTTAATAACTGCAGCGATTCACTTAACAACCGTGGCAAGGAGGGTCGTAAAATGGGGCAAAATCCATTTAACGGCTGTCTTGCTTGGCAACAGAAATTTGGGGCTGGCTTGTGGTTGAAAGTCAAGGACTACCTATACAGGTTCCCAGGTCAAGAGCTACCACCCAAAAAAACCCCAGAACGTTTCCCACAACCGGTGTAGTTTCCTATGCAAGCCAACATCTGCACATGAGACCCTCACCTCAAAGACTGCACCGATAGTGGCATCTCTGCGTTTTCTCTGGCGGAGAAGAAAAGACAAAAATCATTAGAACAAAGAATCAAATTCAAACTGAGTATCTGGACAAGCCACCCTGATTTTTTTTCCAATCGGTCCAAAGAGAATTCTGATCTTTGGGTCACATGGGACTGTGCGAAAGAGAACCACCATTGCAAATTAACGTAATGCAAAGAGACCCATCTGGGAGCACAGAGCCCAAATTGAGAGACGCCATAATTTCTTTCTGCTTTCCAGTCAAACAGAATCGTCCAAGCGCCTTGAGACCTGTCAGTCTGTCCAGTATCCTGATATTTGTGGAATTAATACATTCATGTTTTGTTATTTCCGTACTGTCTGCTCCCAGACCTGGAGTCAAAGAAAACATCTAACCAAGATTTGCTTTCCTACCTACAATAACAGGACAAAACAAGTTCACTCCAATTGGAGCATATTTCTAATAACTGAACATACGTAAACCATTAAGAAGTAAAACCTTCCTTCTCCAAATCCGTCTTGGTTTTTGAAAGAGGTGTCTTTCGACAGTGGCTTAAAATAAAACCAGTCAATTCCTTAAAACGTTCCTTAAACAATCCACTGCCTGTCTCGTGTCTACTTTTCCACATCCCACCACTCACTAACTCCCCAAAAATGAATCAGAAAAACAGTAATTCGCCCTGCATGGGGTTGAGTCTCTCTCTTACCGGATGGCTTCCAACATCTCTTTCATTGACAGAAGATCGACCTTGTCCTGTGCAGAGAGAGAGAGAGAGAGAGAGAGAGAGAGAGAGAGAGAGAGAAAAGGGCATCAGGCACGCGATGCAACACCCAGGATTATGATTACAAGAGGAGTGCCTAAGTCTTTTTTGGATAATCTGAACTGAATTGAATTGGATACTTTATTTGGCCAAGTGTGATTAGACACAGAACAAATTTGTCTCCAGTACAAAAACACTCAGTGTACATGCAAAGCAACAGAAAGGAGAAGAATGATACCAATCAAAGGGAGAAGATAATAAAAAGGACAAATATTAATATTTATAATATTAGATGGGTTAATAGACAGAACTGTGAAAGTTAGGTGTTCAGTAGAATGATGCCATGAGGGGAAAAAATGTCTAGTTGTTTTGGCATATAATGCCCTATAGCAGGGGTAGGCAACCTTGGCTCTTTTATGACTCGTGGACTAGAACTTACCATCTCCTGGTGATTGGCTCAAAGTCACCCAGCTGGCTTTCAAGCCTAAGGCAGGACTAGAACTCACCATCTCCTGGTGACTGCCTCAGAGTCACCCAGCTGGCTTTTAAGTCTAAGGAGGGAGTAGAACTCACCATCACCTTGTTTTCAGCCTGGTGCCTTAAACCACTAGACCAAACTAGCTCACTCATGGATCAAGAGGTGCCAACCGATAAGTGATCGACAGACCACTTTAAGAAGGAGGAAAAAGACACCCACCCACCCAAAAGAGCAGGGGCATAAGATTCAAAATCCGGCATCTTCGTGCCACTCAAATGCGCTCGTTTGAAACCTGGGTTTTCTCTCTCCTCACCTCCTTTGCCTGATCCCAGACCACTTTCTCCATCGCGTTGGGCTCCATCGGCGGCAGAGTAAATTTGAAGTAGGGACGCAGATTCTTGTAGACGTAGATATACGGCCCGGAAGCCACCGCCAGGGCTGGCATGCAGGGCTCGTGTTGCTCCATCAGAAAGGAAACCACGCTCGTGGGTAAGTCTGGCAGGGTGTTTTCACTCAAGAGGGTGGTGCCCTGGTAGACCTTCAGCTTCATCTCATGACCCGTGGAGCCAAAATTGCCCACCACTAGCTGCAGGAGGAAAGGAGAGGGCACAGAGATAAAATGACTTTTTAAAATCGTCAGTAAGTGGATACAGATAGTCCTCAGCTTATGGCTGGTTGCTTAATGGCCATTCAAAGTTACGACAGAGCCAATAAACTGTACAGGAAGTTACAACGGCCTCAAAAAGTGACTTAGCAACAGATATTTTGGGCGGCTCAATTGAGGTCATAAGTCGAGGTAGTCCTGGACTTTGTTTAGTGACCACTAAGCACTAAAAAGGGCTGAGGGATTCATATCTGGATGGAAATGGGAAAAGCTGGCTAGGCTTAAAGTAGAGCTTTTATCTGAGATAGGGATATCTTACCTTCTGGTCTCCGTCCCCATGCAGGTCAGCCAGAGCTGGAAGAAAAATCACAGTCAATGAGAGAGCCATTGTATAGGCTTATCAAAGCCTACCAAGAACAGACAGAGGATTCCTGGAAGATGGTCTAAGGCAGGGGTCTTCCAATTTGGCCCTTTTATGACTTGTGGACGTCAATTCCCAGAATTCCTCAGCCAGGCACGTCCACAAGTCATAAAAGGGCCAAGTTGGAAGACCCCTGGTCTAAGGTGAGGGTTGAAATGTGGAGTCCCTGGTGCTCTCTGAGATTAACTGTTTCCTTGCAGATGTTTTATTACCCAAGTAGGTAACATCACCAGCACAAGTGAGTGTGCGGTTCTAATCCCTTAACTCTTTTCTTTTCCATTCTAGTATATTATTTTCTGTTCTATTCTGTTTTCCATTCTATTCTACGTTCCGTTCCATTCCATTTTATTACCCCACCTTTTATGCATATTTAAAACTCAAGGGAGCAAACATGTTTCATACTTCTTCCTTTTCCTATTTTCCCCACAAACATCCCTGTGAGGTTGATTGGCCTGAGAGACAGAGACTGGCCAAAAGACACCCAGCTGGCTTTCATGCCTAAGGCGGGATGAGTTTTAAAACTCACTGTCTCCTGGTTTCTAAGGCAGGACTTTCACCACGACACTAAAAGTAGCTCACACTGCCAGTTTAGAAACATAGAATCATAGGCTTGGAAGGGACCTAGGAGTTCATTTTTTTTTTTTTCTTTCTTTCTTTCTTTCTTTCTTTCTTTCTTTCTTTCTTTCTTTCTTTTTCTATCATCTATCTATCTATCTATCTATCTATCTATCTATCTATCTATCTATCTATCTATCTATCATCTTATTCTTTCTACCTACCTACCATCCATCCATCCATCCATCCATCCATCCATCCATCCATCCATCCATCCATCTATCTAAGAGATCCTATATCATTCCGGACTGTCCAGTCTCTTCTTGAAAACCTCCAATGTTGGTGCACCCACAACTTCTAGAGTCCACTCCACCCCACCCCAAAAGAGAGAAGGGGGGGAGGAAAGGAGCTCAGACTTACTCACACACGAAGAAAAGGTGTGCAAATTGGCGACTGGATCGTAGTGGGCATCCAACCATTTGGAACTAGTGCGAACCCTGTTGGCAAACACAGGAAAAAAGATGTAAACAAAAAAAAAACATTTATTTTAACACAGCAGACAGAATTTCTCAACCTTGGCAGCCAGAAGATGGGTGGACTTCAATTCCCAGAATTCCCCAGCCAGCATGCTTTAAGATAGGAAGTCTTCAACTGATGGCTGGGGAATTCTGGGAGTGGAAGTCCACCCATCTTGAAGCATGCTGGCTGCGGGATTCTGGGAGTTGAAGTCTACCCAACATGCTGGGTGGGGAATTCTAGGAGTTGAAGTCCTCCCATCTTAAAGCATGCTGGCTGGGGGATTCTGGGAGTTGAGGTTCACCCATCTTCAAGTTGCCAGGGTCGAGTAACACTGTGGTGCTTTCAATCCAGAGCTAAATGGCCAAGGATTGTCCTTTCCACGCAGCCCCCCTTCCATACAGATGGAATCCACCCCCTAAAAGCGGACCCAGGAGGAGGAATATGAGAGAAATCCCCCTTTCTCCCCCCCCAACATTTTTCCTCCCCGAAGGACTGCGCTCTCTATTATTTGCCATTATTTCCCGGGTGTTGTTTTACCCGTCGCCGGCGCCCCCACAAGACGCCGCCGCCGCCGCCGCCATTGCCTTGAATACGCTCCGCGTTAGGCCGCAAAGCCGGTTGCCATGGAAACTGCACGGCGGGCAATGGGTGCACCGCGAAAAGGAATCCCGCCTACGACACCCGTTGTCATGGATACCTCAGGGCGGGGAGTAGGTACACCGCGAAAAGAAGTCCCCCTCTGCGGGCTTATAAACTTCCGAATTTTAGAGTGACCCGCGCCGGGAAGCTTCCGAGACCGACTTGAAATTTTCCTTTCGTCTTGGCTGGCAGCCATTGAAATAAGGGATGTTTAACAGAGATGATTTCTGTTTGGGGCTTGGGGGTATCCCAAAATTTATTTGCGGGGGTGGGTGTATAATCATTTCTACATGGGGTTAGCCTTGGTATTCATAGCTAGCAAGGGGTTAGCCCCTTAAAAAAAATAAGAACAAAATGTACAGTAATTCAGCTGAATTCAGGAGAATTGCACATTCTCCAGGGATTCACCAAACTAGGCGCACAAAAAACCAATTTACAAACCCAACTTAACATGTCATGTTAGCAGCATTCGCTAGGTCTCCTTTGGGGAACCCAATCCCATGTCTCAGTCTACGACAAATTTCTCAATGTTGGAATAAGAAAGAACAAAAAGGGGACTTCTGTCCACGTGCAGAGTGCCTTCTCCCTATTTCTAGTATAGCCCAGACTTCTCCAGCCGAGCTCCTTCGAGCCATGGGAACAACTCAACTCCCATTTCTTTCTCACCCCTGGTAACAAATGCAGGTAGTCCTCAATTTACAACCACAATCGAGCCCAACATTTCTGTTGTTAAGTGAGACATTTGTTAAGTGAGTTTTGCTCATTTTACGACCTTTCTTGACACAGTCGTTAAGTGAATCACTCCCGCTGTCAGGTTAGTAACACAGTTGTTAAGTGAATCTGGCTTCTGCAACTGACTTTGCTTCTCAGGAGGTCGCAAAAAGGGATCACGTGACCCCAGGACGCTGCAACTGTCATAAATGTGAATCAGTTGTCAAGCGTCTGAATTTTGATCACGTGATCATGGGGATGCTGCAAAGGTCGTAAGTGTGAAAACCCAGTCATAAGTCACTTTTTTCAGTGGCACTGTAACTTCAGTCACTAATTGAACTGTTGTAATTCAAGAACTACCTGTACCAACGCAGGTTGTGGATTATGTGTGTTGTAGTCCCAGCACAGCCAGACGGTACCTAGATGAGTTTGCAGCTTCAATGAAATTGCGTCTCCAATGCCTCGTTGGTAATCAATTCTTTCCAACAAATTAAGCCCTTTTTATTTTGCAGATCCAGCAGCTCATATTCACACCTTTATATAAACACACCCCATGGCATAAAATCAGATTACTCAATCAAACACAGGATGGGAAACCAAGGCTTGCTAATAAATCCATCCATGACAACTGGCTGAGTTCACACTTAGGCATAAGTTACAAAGTCATCAAGCCATGGTTCATAAACCATAATTTGCTGGGTTGACACAACATCCTAAGCCAGAATTAAACCCAGTGGCTTTACTGCTTAGAGCAGTAAGTTATCTATCTTAGCAATTTTAAGATGTCTGGACTTTTAATTCCCAGAATTCTGCATTCTGGGGAATTCTGGGAGTTGAAGTCCAGATCTTAAAGTTGCCAAGATGGAGAAACAATAGTTTAGGGGCAGGGGTCTTCAAACTTGGCAACTTTTAAGACTTGTGGACTTCAACTCCCAGAATTCCTCAGCCAGCCAGGGCTGAGGAAGTTTTAAAGTTGCCGAGTTTGAAGACCCCTGGTTTAGGGAGATGAATGAACCCACCAACATTGTGGGTTAAGTTCCTCCATCTAACATTTCTGACCTTGGAAGAATTTTCTTCCCAACTCAAGTTTCAAACGCGTTTTCCCCACCAACAGCCGCCAGTCTAGGAACCAAGATTTATTACTTCCAAATATTATCCAGTGTGCTCAAGTTGCGTAACAGTCAGATCGGATGCCCATCCTCCAATCCCACCCCCAAAGCTGCAGAGACGGTGAGAAAAATCACCCAAATGAGTCCAGGAGAGAAAAAAAAAACACACCCAAAACTCAGAGCTGGGGCCATTTTTCAAATCGATCTGTGGCCCAAAAAGAGATCCAGTCCAATTTCTTTGTCACCCCTTTGAGATCAGAAGGCCAGTTAGGAGATAAAAGTGGTTTGTCCTGAAATCTTGGCACAATCAGGTAAGGAGACCAGGAACCCTGGATGGCGTCTCCGTCACTCGATGAGTTTTTTGGCCTTGAAAAAGCGCCGTAGATAGAATACCTGCCAGGCTGCTAAGCTGACCAGACACAGCATGGAGAAAATGCTAAAGTAGAAAACCCGAATACTGGTGGATTCTGCAAAAAAAAAAAAAAAAAGAAAGAAAGAAAAGAAACAGGATGAAGGATCAACAACAAGGTGATGGCAATTACTAAGACCAGGGGGGTCTCCAATCTTGGCGACTTTTAGATTTGTGGACTTCAACTCCCAGAGTTCCTAGCTGACCACGTTTGGAGATGCCTGATCAAGATCACCCCCCCAACGCAGCAAACTAGATTCTCACATTATGCCAAACAATCATTGGCTTCACCTATGTTTCTTTGCAAACCCTGAACTAAAAAACTCACCTAACATGCTAAGTCTGACTAGAGAGGTCACCCTTGACTTATGACTACAATTGAGACAGGAAATTCTGTTGCTAAGTGGTGCGATTATTAAGTGAGTTAAATCAATCCCTCTCTGACAAACGACCATCTAGCCCAGTGTTTCTCAGTCTTTGAAACTGGGAGATAAGTGGACTTCAAACTCCCAGAATTCTCTAGCCAGCTTGCTTTAAAGTGTGTGGATTTTAACTGCCAGAATTCCCCAGCCAGCAGCTCCCTTAAAAAGATGGGTGGACTTCAACTCCTAGAATTCCCCAGCCATTATGCTTTAAGATGGGTGGACTTCAACTCCCAGAATTCCCCAGCCATTGTTTTAAGATGGGTGAACTTCAACTCCCAGAATTCCCCAGCAAAGGTTGAGAAGCTCTGATCTAGCCCATTTGAAGGAGAACTGGCTGATGGCTCATATTGACAGTGCCTGATATCTCGTCTGAATCTCCTTGCTTAATAGCCCCAAGTTTACAATAAAATCAGTACATGCTCGTTGGGGGATTCTGGGAGTTGAAATGTACACATCTTCAAGCTGGTAAGTGAGGATCTCTGGTCTAACCGTTGTTAGGAGAACTGGCTGGCGACTCATATCAACATATCATAGCTTGAATCACCTTGCTTGTTAACCTCAAGTTTACAATAAAAGTCAGTGCGTGCCGCCTGGGGGATTCTGGGAATTGAAGTCCGCACATCTTAAAGTGGCTAAGAATGAGGAACGCCAAATTTTAGCTTCACTGGGAGTTCAGAAGAACTGGAGAAGGCTGGAAGGCAAAGGGCAAGTTATGCAGAAAATGATCCATATTGCCATTTTTCTTGGGACCACCTGTCCAGAAAGCAGGGGTCAAATCCCCAATTAGAAAGTCCGGCCTCACCGTTGGTGTCGCGCATTTCCTCTTCCCGTTTTTTCATGAAGGCAAAATCCTTGACAATGGATTCGGAAAGGTCCTCCAGCCGACGGAGGTCTATCTCCAACGGTTTCAGTTTCTCTGCTTTTGCGACCTGGCAGGAAAGTTGGGAGAACCATAGAGTTTGGCGGGAAAGAGGGCCGAGTGACATCACGTCTGCAATGACATCATCACGCTTGTGAGGTCATCCTGGTCTGTCCCAGGTCCCAACAGGGAGAAGTGAAGCTAAGTAACGGCACCATTAATGGCCGTCGTCACACCACACACCTCATCAAGTTACCAGTCCTCAAAGAACATTTTCATAACATGGAGAATGACTGGTTTCTCCACTGACTTTGTTTATCAGACGGGCGCGAAAGGGGATCACCTGACCCCGGGACACCGCGACCGTCATAAATACGAATCAGTTGCCAAATGTCTAAATTTTGATCACATGACCATGGGGATGCTGCAACGGTCATAAGTGTGAAAAATGATCATAAGTCACTTTTTTTAGTGCCGTCGTAACTTCAAACAGTCACTAAATGAATGGTTGTAAATCAAAAGTATTCAGAGCTACACCCAGCAAAAATTTGACTTACATTTTCGTAATTCATGGCTTCTACCCCATGTTTAACATTGAGGGTGACCAGTTGATCTGGCAGCCGAAAGTTCCCTGAAAAAAATAAAAGGAAAGGTTGTGTTACAGGATGCAAAATACAGGGAGAAAATCCAATTTTTATTAATTATATTCATAATAATATAATAAAAGGTGGTCAAAAATGCCAAATCCAGTCTGAATATCTGGGTGCACGACAAGCCATAGATTATAATAGTAATAAAGAATATGTTCTTGATATTCGTAGTATTAATCTAGTGTGTTAAGTGAGGTTAGCTAAATATAGTAACAGTAATCACAATACATTAGTAAAAATAAATAAAGAAAAAAACGGGAGAAAATCCCAATATACAAAGACTTGCAACTAGAAGTAGAACGCCTATGGCAAAAGAAAGCGGAGATAGGACCAACAGCGTCCCAAAACATCTGGAGCACCCTTGGAATACCACTGGCATTGACAAAATCCCCATTGATCAATTGCAAAAGGCAGCCTGACTTGGAACAGCTGACAGTCCTTTTAATATTATTAAGCAACATCTGTCTATCCCAGATCCTTGGGAAGGATTTGATCAATGGATAAAAATACCGAATTCACTTTAAACATCTGGCTGACGGTGTGACAAACCACAGCAACAGTAACAACAATGTGGTTGAGTTTCTCCGAAACCTTTTCAGTTCTGAAGGAAACTAAGAAACCTCCCAAAATAAACCTAAAAGTAAAAGTGCCTTTGGTCAACAGGAGCAAAGATATTTTAAATGAGCGAAGTGAATTTACCGACTAGGGTGGCAAAACCCGTTTAACCACGTCAGTGAAAGGTTTCCGGTTTTTTTCCCTTTGCACAATATTATTACCGGTCATTTGTAAACTTTGCTTTGGGGAGATTTTTAGCGGACCGAGAGATTCAATGCATCTGTTTTAACTGACAATTAAAAAAAAAAAATCACACCAATTTTGAGAAACCTTCACAGCAAAGTAAATAATTGAAGTCTGTACTTGGGAGTAAAAAGCAACACGTTAAGTCCACCGACTGTACCTCTCTCTCTTTCCAAATAGGACCCGTTGCCCACCTGCAGGAAGGAGCTAGATGGGGGCGATGGGACCTGTAGTCAGGCAGCTGAGTGCCCACACCCGGACCCCCTTACCTGGCTGTCCGTGACTCTGAAAGCAAATCTCATAGACTTCGTAATCCTCGGTGGTGAAGGCAAATTTCCCCTTCTTGGCTTCTTCTCTGGAGTAGAGCAGGTGTCCGGCCGAGTCGGTCACCTGCGGGCAGAACGAGACAAACCCCTGAGCATGCACAGAGTGCAAAACCAGATCAGCTCCAGTTTGCAGAGCTCGGATGGTGCGAGAGAGGACGGGAAACACACACACACAATTTTGTGCAAAGGGGTCGAGAGGAGGAGGAGGAGGAAGGGGATGCTTCCCACCTTTAAGTTCGTCCGGATGCCCGGTGCGGCCGCTTCAGACACTTCATACTCCCCGGTGACCATCACGTCCCGGTGCAGCTCCTCTTTCAGGCACTTGCGGCTCAGCGGGGGCAGATGGAAGGAGAGCCCCCGGCAGCGGCCGGCAGAAAGAGCCAGCAGCACGGCCCAGGGACCCAACAGGACCGGCAGCCACATGGGAACGGTGCAAAGAGGGAGACCCTCGCCTTTCCGGGGGCTGATCTGGGGGGGGGGAGGTGTCCAAACGACCCCGGCGCTTCGGGGTTCAGATCGCAACCCAGAACCCGAGTCGGCTCGTTCACACGACCCTCCTTCCCGCTTTTTCCCTTCCCGGGATCGCGTTCTGCACGCACGGTGCAAACGCCAGCCCGTCCTCCAACCGCTCTGCGCTCCCCGGGCGCGAGCTCCGGGGATGTCCCGAGCGCGCATGCGCACCTCACTTCTCTCGCCGCGCCCCCTCGGGCTGCGTCTACACGCGACGTGGCGCGACCTGCCGCTTCGTTCCGGGTAAGGGCGGGGACTTGACGAAGGACCGCCCCCCTGGCGAAACCTGAGGGAAAGAGGCTGTCGGAAGGGGTGGGCTCGCAATCCGTCTCCATCCTAGCGGAGCGCGGCTGCGTTTTGGGGACGGGAGGGCGAGAATGGGCGGAAGGAGGGAGCCGAGGCCGGGGAGGTGCGGTTTGACCCCCCCGGCGTTTCGTCTGGGCGTTATTTCACAAGCGGAGGAGCTTTTCAGAGGCCTGGACTTCAATTCCCAGAGTTCCTCAGTCGGCCCACTCTGAAGGATTCTGGGAGTTGAAGTTCGCACCTCTTAAAGGGGCCGAGGTTTAAAAAAACAGGGGCTTAAGAAGAAAACCAAGTTAGCGCAGTTGCGTGTTTGAATCGAAAGGTGGGGAACCAATTAGCTACGGAAAAGGCATCCCCCCCCCAATAAAGAATGAAAAGAAATGGGGAAGGGAAGAATCGATGCCAGTTAGTCCTCGACTTAACGTCCACAATTCAGGCCAATATTTCTGCTAACAAGACAGCTGTTAAGAGAGTTTTGCCCCATTTTACGACTTTTCTTGCCACGCTTGTTAAATACGGCATCCAGTTTTGGTCACCACGATGTAAAAAAGACGTTGAGACTCTAGAAAGAGTGCAGAGAAGAGCAACAAAGATGATCAGGGGACTGGAGGCTAAAACATATAAGGAACAGCTGCTGGAATTGGGGATGTCTCGTTTAATGAAGAGAAGGACGAGGGGGGACATGATGGCAGCGTTCTAGTATCTCAGGGGCTGCCCCAAAGAAGAGGGAGTCAAGCTGTTCTCCAAAGCGCCTGAAGGCAGGAGAAGAAGCAACGGGTGGAAACTGATCAAGGAGAGAAGCAACCTAGAACTAAGGAGAAACTTCCTGACAGTTAGAACAAGTAACCAGTGGAACAACCTGCCTCCAGAAGCGGTGAATGCTCCAACAGTGGAAGTTTTTAAGAAGAGACTGGACAGCCATTTGTCCAAAATGGTATAGGGTTTCCTGCCTGAGCAGGGGGTTGGACTCGATGACCTCCAAGGTCCCTTCCAACTTTATTATTATTATTATTATAAATCAATCACTGCAATAATTAATAAAATGGTTGCTAAGTGAATCTGGGTCAAATTCCGTCTTCCCCCAGCCTGCTCTTTCCCTTCCCTTCCATTTTCAAGGCCTTTTCATGGGTTTTCCCAGGGGTCCCAAACCCCCAACTGCGGGAACCCCAGCGGGACACGAATCGTGGCCACCGCTGAGATGGCGGGAGAGGCAAATGAAACGGAAGCCATCAAACTTCAGAAAAGTTCACTTTATTCTGAGATTCCTAGCCTGATGGAGCGATCGCTAGCGTGGGAATTCTCCATTTCCGAACCGGATTCTGGCAAAAGGGATCTGCAGACGTCAGGACGGCTCGGGAGGGAGGGGAGAGGGGAGACCCAGGCCCGCCCCCACCCGCCCTGTGGCCTTAATTTTTCCAAAAACGAGCATCCGCGTGAATCAGCTGCAGCAATTCCCCTTCGAGGATCTCGGCGTCTTTGGAGAAGCGGTCGGCAAAGGAACGGATCAGCCCTGCGGCGCTGCCTTCGTACTGGGTCAGTCGGACTTTGCCTTCTGGGAGAGCGAGAAGCCAAGTCAGCCAGCAAAAAAAAAATAAATGCAAAATTTATTCTGTTCCCAATTCTCCGATTAGATTTTAATCTCCCAATCGTCTTTTCCTTGGTTGCAGGCTCCAAAATTTATCTTGGGACAATGCTTAGGGCTTGCTGTGACGCTAAGCCTGGGGGTCTTCAAACGTGGCCCTTTTATGACATGTGGACTTCAACTCCCAGAATTCCTCAGCCAGCATGCCTGGCTAAGGAATTCTGGGAGTTGAAGTCCACAAGTCATAAAAGGGCCAAGTTTGAAGACCCCTGCTCTAGGGATTCCAGGAATGCTTCTCTATTGTACCAGGATAGTGTTTCTCAGCCTTAGCGACTCTAAGAGGGGTGGACTTCAACTCCCAGAATTCCTCAGAGGAGTTGAAGTCCACCCCTCTTAGAGTCGCCAAGGTTGCAAAACACTGTTAATAGGCTATAACAGAATTTAACTCTAACCAAGTTACTCTTTATCCCTACACAAAATTAAGATGATATTCTTCTGTTTCCAGTTTCTTTCCAGTTCTGAACTGCATAAATCTCTTCCGTCAACGAATACTTTAGAAGTCAGCTCTAAATCCCTTTACGCCACGAACATCTGGACTATCCCGGGAAGAGCTCTGAAGTTTTACACAAAGTGAAAGAACCAGTGACGCTGGACCACTGGGAGACCATAAACCGGGTTAAATCCCGGCCTGCTTACCCTCCAGCCCGGTGTTGGCTTGCACGAAGAGCTTGCGTGCTTCCTTACGCAAAAGCACCGTCTCACGTAGGCTTAGAAAGCGTTCGGGCTTGTCGTCTGTCACGGCTGAGTAGGCTTCATAAAGCTTCCGGCCCCCTTCCACGTCGGCGGTGGATTTCAGCACCTGAGAAGGTAGATAAACCCTAGTTTGAAAGTGTCTCTCGTTTCCCCTGCCAGGATTCCGTTTTCTTCTTCCCAGCTTGACTTTTCTGAACCTGATACAGTTAGTCCTCGACTTACGACGACAACGGAGACCAAAATTGATGTCGCTAAGTGAGACATTTGTGTTAAGTGAGCTTTGCCCCATTTTACGACCTTCCTCGCCACCGTCGTTAAATGAGTCACTGCAGTTAAGTCAGTAAGATGCTTGTTAAGTGAACCTGGCTTCCCCCATGGGCTTTGTTTGTCGGAAGGACGCAAAAAGGGGATCCCGTGGCTGCAACTGTCGTAAATACGAGTCAGTTGCCAAGCGTCCGAATTTTGATCACGTGACCGAGGGGAGGCTGCAACGGTCGTCAGTGTGAAAAACGGTCACAAGTCACTTTTTTTCAGTGCGGCTGTAATTTTGAACGGTCACTAAATGAAACTGTTGTAAGCCGAGGACTAAATGACTCGAGGAATCCATCGCAAACATATCCATCGCATCTTCCTCCTCCTGTTTCCCGCCCCCAACAACTCTGTGAGGTGGGTCGGGCTGAGAGGTTGACGGGCCCAAGGTCACCCAGCCAGGTTTCCTGGCTAAGGCAGGACTCGAACTCGCCGTCTCCTGCTTTCTAGCCTAGTGCCTTCACCACTAGAGCAGGGCTCTTCAAACTTGGCCCTTTGATGACTTGTGGACTTCAATTCCCAGAATTCCTCAGCCAGCAGGCGTGCTGGCTGAGGAATTCTGGGAGTTGAAGTCCACAAGTCATCAAAGGGCCAAGTTTGAAGAGCCCCTGCCCTAGCGTGTCTGTTTCTTCACATGGCATATCTTAAAGCAGAGGTGGGGAACCGTGGCTCCTTTATAACTTGTGGACTTCAACTCCCAGAATTCCCCAGCCAGCATGGCTGACTCAGGAATTCTGGGAGTTGAAGTCCACAAGTCATCAAAGGGCCAAGTTTGAAGACCCCTGCACTACAGCAAACTGCCTCCTTTCTTTCACCATTAGGAACAGAATTTCTCCACTGCTAAGGGAGGGAAGGGAAAAAAAACCCCGCTTACTTGCAGCTTCCGGAGAAAACACTGCAGGGCTGGTTTTCCCACGCTGGTGATTTTGGTGCGGTCCAGCGAGACAACGGCGTCCGGCTTGCCGTCTGTCCCTGTGGTGTGGTGCAGGGACACCAGTCCCTGGCCAGCCTCCAGCAGCACTCTTAAGATCACAAAACGGGCCTGCATGTGAGCCTGGCAGAGAGAGAAGCGGACGTCAAGAGGGAAGACAAGAGTCGTAACGGGTGCGAGGTGTCTGGCAAGCTCTCCTGCCTGCAAAACTGGAAAGCAGAATTAGCATGCTATTATGTCCAAGAGAGCAAAGCGAACGTCCAGATCTGCTTTAGGGATTCAGTGTTGTGTGGACTTCAACTCCCAGAAGCCCCTATCCGGCAGGCTTTAAGATGGGTGGACTTCAAATCCCAGAATTTCCCAGCCAGCAGGCTTTAAGATGGTGGACCAACTCCCAGAATCCCCTAGGCATCTTGCTTTAAGATGGGTGGACTTCCACTCCCAGAATTCCCTATCCAGCAGGCTTTAAGATGGGTGGACTTCAAATCCCAGAATTCCCCAGGTAATTATTAGGGTGGGTGGGAATTGTCAAATCATAAAATCAGTAAATGATAAAAGTCAACACTGAACGAAATCACAATAGAAATAAATAAATAGCATGTGGAATAAGTAAAAAAAAGCGATATAAACCCAAATGTAACTTTTGTATTGTCAGTAATTCAGAAAATGGCCAAGGAACGCGGATATATTGTGCTTGCTCGCTGCCATTATGTTTCACTCATTTATAAAGAATTATAACATTGATATTGTTTACAAATAAAGAAAACATAATGCCAATAACAATCTGTTATTAATTAGTGAAGGTTTCCCCAGTTAGGCTGGCTGGAAAATTCTGGGAGTTGAAATCCACTCATCTTCAAGATGCCAAGGTTGGGAAACACTGCATTAAATTATAATTATTTACAATTATTATCTAGCAATAATAGTAAAGCCAATATTTCTGTCTTTTGCAAATGGGGCAAATTGAATTCTTAACGTGGACCCTCACCTGCCGCCATGTCCCGGATTCGGGGGTGTAGAATTCCAGAGCCAGGAGCCCCGCCCGGACCATATTTAGCCAGTTAATATAGATCACATTTTCAGCATCTTCTCCTTTCAGTTCAAAGATGCTGACAAAGCAGAAAATGAAAGGAAAAGGAAAAAAGAAAAAAAAAAAAGACGATAAATGCAAATATTTCCGTTTTGTATTGTATTTTACCTTTTGAAATCAATATAAAACTTCGACAAGTTATTTTAATTTTAATGGAGCTATTATTAGGGACTCTTCCTACTTTTCTATGTTTATTATTGTTTTTCCTGTGAATTATTATTTTTTATTCATATAGTTTATAGGTGGCAGACTAACAACTTCTAAACAGATTTAGTACTTTAAAATTCTTTGGGGATGTGAAATTAACACCATTGTGTTATATTAATCAATATTCAACTAGGGAGGATATTATCCTCCACTTACAACAGTTCATATTAGTGACGGTTCAAAGTTACAACGGCACTGAAAAACTGACTTGTGACCATTTTTCACGCTGATGACCTTTGTAGCATCCCCAGGTCACGTGATCAAAATTTAGACGCTTGGCAACTGACTCATACTTATGACGGTCGCAGTGTCCTGGGGTCAGGTGATCCCCTTTTGCAACTTCCTGACAAGCCAAATCAACGGGGAAGCTGGATTCACTTAACAACTGTGTGACTAATTTAATAACCGCAGTGATTCACTGAACAATTGTGGCGAGGACGGCCATAAAATGGAGCAAAACTCACTTAACAAATGGCGACTGAAATTTTGGGCACAATTGTGGTCTTTTTTTTTTTAATACAAGTTTTATTAATTTTTCGAATCTTTACATCCAAATACTTAGGCTAAATTGGAATATATAAATTGGAATTAGATAATAAAACCCAAAAAGAGGACTTGGATATGTACAACTAAAATGTTATTGATAAATGTGATGATTGATTGAGCTTTAGCTAGAAACTTATTNTATTGGTGGGAAATAGAGAGGGAACTTTTAGTGATGTAACCCGAGATATATATGAATGATTTTGTTATTGGACTATTGATTACCCTATCACCACGCTGCTTCCTAAGTATTTGGATGTAAAAATTCGAAAAAATAATAAAACGTGTATCAGTTGTGGTCTTAAGTGGTCATAAGCCGGGGACTGTCTTAAGTCTTTTTTTCCCCCCTGTTTCTCTTTTTTTTTAAAGACACTTTCACTTTGTCTCGTCCGTTGTGGGTTTTTTTTATTCCTTTCTTTTTTAAAATATATATATATATATTTGGACGTTTTGTATTCAAACTGTCTTTGAATCAATTAAATATTATACAGGGGGAAAAAAAATTTTAAAAAGGAAAGAAAAAGAAAAACCGACGGTGTCTAAATTTTCGCTCAATTTTGCTGGAACCCGAAATATTTGTGCCGCAGTTCAGCTGTCGCGCAGCTCAGAGGGACCCCTGGTTCTCCACCCTCCCCAAAGCCCCCCGAGGCTCACCGGAGCACCTCTTTGTTCAAGCAGAGGTACAGACCCACACATTCTGCCCGACACTCTTCGTAGCTTGAGGCCACACTTGAGAATTTGCTGTCCCAGGTCTCGCCTCTTTGGTACCAACTCCGAATCTGGAGGGAGGTGAGCAGAGAAAACATGATCTGTCACTCACTCGGTCAATCAGAATAGAGCTGGAAGGGGCCTTGGAGGTCTTCTAGTCCAGCCCCCTGCTCAAACAGAAGACCTTGTACTATTTCAGACAAGTGGCTGTCCGGTCTCCTCTTAAAAACCTCCCGTGGCTTGTTTGCATCCTGACCCAACGAGCCAGGATAGATCTGGACCCCTTTTTCCAAGCCAAAATCCTCACCAATTCTCCCGTCTCCGGGTTGGTCACCGCAGCCTTGTCGAAATTAAAAGCTCCGGAATCATCCTACATAGGGGGAGAGGGGGAAAAAAGGCATTAAAATCCCCGTTCCGATACGAAATTAATATCAAATCAACACGGAAGGAGATTTGTAACTGGCCTGTCAAGCTTGTTTTACACACCCCCTTGCCCAATATTGGTCACAGGTAGTCCCCGGCTTACACCCGTCCGTTTAGCGACCGTTCAAAGCTACGACGGCACCGAAAAAAGGGAACCTGTGGCCATTTTTCACGCTTAACAACCGTTGCAGCGTTCCCCGTGGTCACGTGACCAAAATTCAGACCCTAGGGCCCCACCGTCTACCTCGCAGGGATGTTGTCACAGAGAACATAACTGGGGAAAGGAGGACCCACACAGGTTTACCAGGGTGGTACCTACACACCTGGAAAAAAACACCCAGCTCTGAGGTAAAAAATACTACAAAAGCGATTGTTGATTGTGGGGTCTGGTTGGAGAGAAAGGCAGGCCTTACCTGGACGAACAGCTTCCCGCTGCCGTGCCCGAGAAGCTCGTGGAGGCCAACTTGGACTTCGAAAGACGGTCCTTTCCACTGAATGTAGAGATCCTGCAAAAGAGACCGTGACGTTAGCAGAGGGTTGGACTAGAAGACCTCTAAGACCCCTCCCAATTCTGTTATTCTGTCATAGATTGAAAGGAGTTGTTTTTTCCCCCCCTGCGGCTTTTGTTTAAAGGACTTTAATTCAGGTTTTCCTCCTCCCGTCAGGCCCCCCCGCTTCCTCTACTTTGTCCCCTACACACACACACACACACATACACAAACACACACAAAAGCAAGCCATACTTTGTCCTTCTCTGCCAGGAAAGTCAGTTTCTCCTTTTGGGTGGTGTAAGCGACCGCCAGCACGTTCCCCAGTGAGACGTTCTTGAATCCCTCCGTCTGGCGGATGTCGTCATCTAGTGGAGGAGGAGGAGGAGGAGGAGGAGGAAGGGAAGGACTACAGCTCCCATCATCCCCAGCCAACATAAGCCGGGATGGCCGAGAGCAGAGCAAAGGGTCGTTTTTCTGCCTAGGGTGTGGATGCAGAACTTGGCTAATCCAAGCAAGCTGTTTTTCTAACCTAGCCTGGATCCCACACACTGCCCCTAACCACAGGCTTGAGATTGAACCATAGATTCAACCGTTCCAAAATGAAAACAAACACCATTCTCCACCACCAGGTTAAAAACGAACAAGCTGAATGTGTTGTGCGAATGCAAACACTAGCACAAAAGCAGGGAATGTGGGAATTCAAAAATATCAGACACAAGTCACCTCTTTCCAAGCTCAGGTCTACAAAAGGAAATGGTACAACTATGCTGGCTAATTTATATCTATCTATCTATCTATCTATCTATCTATCTATCTATCTATCTATCTATCTATCTATCTATCTATCTATCTATCTATATCTAATCTATAGATATATAGAGATAGATAGATAGATAGATAGATAGATAGATAGATAGATAGATAGATAGATAGATAGATAGACAGACAGACAGACAGACAGACAGACAGACAGACAGACAGACAGACAGACAGACAGACAGAGATATATTTCTTAAGCTTGGCAACTTTCAGATGAGTGGATGGTCCACCTATCTGAAAGCACACTGGCTAGGGAATTCTGGGAGTTGAAGTCCATCCATCTGAAAGCACACTGGCTGGGGAATTCTGGGAGTTGAAGTCCACCCCTCTTAAAGCATGCTGGCTGGGGGATTCTGGGAGTTGTCCACCCATCTGAAAGCACACTGGCTGGGGAATTCTGGGAGTTGAAGTCCACCCCTCTTAAAGCATGCTGGCGGGGGAATTCTGGGAGTTGAAGCCCACCCATTTGAAAGCCACTCAGCTTGAGAAACCCTGCTGTAAAAATGCAAACAACAACTCTGCACTAGCCTTACAGTTTGGGATGTTGATGCCCGCAGGAATGCCACTTCCGGCAAATGTCAGCACGTCGAGGGAGGTGAAATCCGGCTTCAGGAAGTGGTCTTTCTCGAAGGCCCGGGGCCAAGGCAGTTCTTCCAGGAGGTTTTCAGCCTGGGCCACTAGCTTTGCGAACTTCGCACTCATGGCTTTGTTCACCACAGCCACAAAACCTGAAAAAAGACAACGATCAGTTGAACAACAACAAAAAAAAAAACCACAGGGCTTCTTGCATCTTGCAAATTCTCTGGGCCGGATTGGTTTTCCTGTCGCTTGAGTGGGGAAAATTAAGGCTCAGCTGATTTACGGAAAACGGAACCGTAGTGCTGGGTGCAAACCACGTTTCTTCCCCACTCCAAAGGGTTTCGTTTAGAGCCAGGCAAAACGGGTGATCGACTGTCTCCCATCTTCCCCCCCTTTGAGTCCAAATGAACGGACTGGATCCAAAGATTGAGAGGTGGCAAAAACGGGGTACCTTCAAACTCTCCCCGGGAACCGTACGGATCTCGATAGCTCTCGATGAAACCAATGTAGCTGCGGAGGCAAATTGGACAAGTATCAACGGACCTATGCATGCGCTACTATTCTGTTTTATTCGTTTTTGTTTTATTTCGTTTCGTTTTTAATTGCATTTCACTCAATTTTTATTTCGTGACACTTTCACTTCATTTCATTTGTATGTATCTTATTTCTGCAACAGAGAATGGCCGCCTGTCTTGTATCGTGCTTCCCATACTTGGGATAATAATAATAATAATAATAATAATAATAATAATAATAATAATAATAATAATGATGATGATAAAAAATAATAATAATAGTAGTAGTAGTAGTAGTTGTAGTAGTAGTAATAGTAGTAGTAGTAGTAATGATAATAATAATAATAATAATAATAATAAACAATAATAATAAAGTTGGAAGAGACCTTGGAGGTCATCTAGTCCAACCCCCTGTTCAGGCAGGAAACCGTAGACCAGGGGTGTCAAACTGCCAGCCCGTGGGCCGGACCTGTCACCAGGAAACCGCACCCACCCCATTGCCGGCAATGGGGAAAAAGCTCTGATACGTCGCACGACGTCACGAGTTTGACAGGTCTGCCCTACACCATTTCGGACAAATGGCTGCCCAGTCTCTTCTTAAAAACCTCCAGTGTTGGAGCATTCACCGCTTCTGGAGGCAGGTGGTTCCACTGGTTAATTGTTCTAACTGTCGGGAAGTTTCTCCTTAGTTCTAGGTTGCTTCTCTCTTTGGTTACTTTCCATCCTGTCCTGCCTTCTGGCACTTTGGAGAATAAGAGTCTGTTAACCTCAACGTTAGTCAGAAGAGGTAAATCAACTAACAACAATTAACAATAAATTCACAAAGTGACACGAGATTCAGCGAATGAAGCAATTATTCCGGAAGGAAAGACATCCATTTCTTTGCGATCTCACCTGGGCGCAAAACTCACCTTTCCACGATGGGACTTTTGTCACGAATCCAGCAACGAGAGCCCTCTTTGTGAGCCGGGATGGAGCCCTGCCTGAAGCTGGTTATGTAATGTTCCAACATCTCGGTCTGAACGGGGCTGGTGGTATGTTGCTGGAGAAGGAACAGCAAAGGCTGTAGAGCATGGCTTCTCAAAGTAAGATGGGTGGACTTCAACTCCCAGAATTCCCCAGCCAGCAGAGGCGTAGCGTGAGGGGTGCAGGGGGGGCCGGCCACACCGGACGCAACATCTGGGGGGGCGCGCTCGCACTCGCAGCTCTCTGCCCCTGCCTGGCTCACTCACTCTCTCTGCAGTGCTGGCTGTGCGAATCCGAGCCGCCGGGTTGCCGACGCCGCCCACTGTGGAGGGGGGCGCAAATTACTTGCCCCGGGTGCTGACAACCCACGCTACGCCACTGCCAGCCAGCATTGTTGGCTGGGGTAGTCTGGGAGTTGAGGTCCACTCAAGCTAACCTTAACCATTTTAGGATGTGTGGACTTCAACTCCCAGAATTCCCCATGCAACATTGTTAGCTGGGGTATTCTGGGAGTTGAGGTCCACTGAAGCTAACCTTAACCATTTTAGGATGTGTGGACAACCTCCCAGAATGCTCCAGTCAGAACTGATGCATGGGGTATTCTGGGAGTTGAAGTCCACACATCCCAACCTGACAAATTTCTGTGGTTTTGTTTGGAAGGGAGCTGCTAACCCACGTCAACAAAAACAAAATCCACTTCTTGCTTTACCTGCGCTTTCTGCAAATTCTCCACCACCCTCTGCAGAATCGGGCTGTAATCGCCGCGCGTGACGGTAAACGTGCAGCCCTCAAATTGGAAATGCTTCGTTTTGACCGTTGTCTCATCAAGTTGGGGTTCTGAAGGGAAAAAAAGAGACGATTCAGCATTTTAAAGATGTGTGGGTATATATCTCCTCTCTCCTTGATTTAAGAAAAGAACGGAAATAGTCCTCTAGTTATGGCTGTAATGGAGCCACACTATCAGTCATAAGTTGTGATGGACAAAAAATAATAACGGATATATGTATATATAATTGATATATAGATATATAAATTATGTGTGTTATATAGGTATTTTACAGATAGATAGTAAATAGATATAGATATAAATATAATTTCTCTCTCTACTGGATGGCTTGTTTATGATTTGACAATCCCCTATACCAGGGGTAGGCAACCTTGGCTCTTTTATGAGTCGTGGACTTCAACTCCCAGAATTCCTGAGCCGGCCATGCTGAGGGGAAAGGGAGAGGTTTCCAAGCTGAGCCGTGCTGACTCAGGAATTCTGGGAGTTGAAGTCCACCAGTCATGAGGAGGCCAAAGTTTCCCTCATGCTGGCTGAGGAATTCTGGGAGTTGAAGTCCACCAGTCATGAGGGGGCCATAGTTCCCCTACGCTGGCTCAGGAATTCTGGGAGTTGAAGTCCACAAGTCATAAAAGAGCCAAGGTTGCCTATCCCTGCCCTATACATTCTGGGTGGTAAAGAATAGCATGAAAATGTTGTAAATTAACCGTTAAGGACATGTCTTAGGGCATGGCGTGCCTGGCTGATGAATTCTGGGAGTGGAAATCCGTAAGTCATAAAAGGGCCAAGTTTGAAGAGCCCTGTCTTAGGGCATGTTGTTAATGTTAATTAATGCCATTCATGTTCTTTGTTGGGGGCTTATCGTTGCACTCAAAAAAGAGGGAGCAGAAGGGATGGAGGGACGCTCCAGCCATTACCATCCAGAAGGACCGACGCCAGACGGACTTCGTAGCTGGTTTTCCCTCCGGTCTCCGTCTTAAAAAGACGGGTGTTGTATGCACTGATATTCTACAAAGAAGGGGAAAAAAGCATTGGAAAAACATACATTTATTTTTGTAACCGGCCATTATTATATTTATCAATAAGTCAAGGTGGTGAACGTCTCAAATATTCCTTCCTCCTCTATTTTCCCCACAACAATCTTGTAAGGTAGGTTGGGCCAAGAGAGAGGGGGAATGGCCCAAAGTTACCCAAATGGCTTTTATGCCTCGGGTAGGACTAGAACTCACAATCTGCTGTTGATTGGCCCACAGTCACCCAGCCAGTTCTCATGCATAAGGTGGGACTAGAACTCACAGCCTCCTGCTGATTGGCCCAAAGTCACCCAGCCTGGTTTTGTGCCGAAGGTGGGACTAGAACTCACAATCTCTTGATGATTGGCCCTCAGTTACCCAGCCGGCTTTTGTGCCTAAGGCGAGACTAGAACTCGCAGTCTCCTGATAATTGGCCCAAAGTCAGTCAGCCGGCTTTTCTGCCTCAGGCAGGACTAGAACTCACCGTCTCCTGGTGATTGGCCCATAGTCACCCAGCCAGTTCTCATGCATAAGGTGAGACTAGGACTCACAGACTCCTGGTGACTGGCCCAAAATCACCCTGCCAGCTTTCCTGCTTAAGGCGGGATTAGAACTCAACTCTCTGTAGGTTTGATAATAATTTAACCTTGTCCCAAAGTCGACCTTAGTCATTAAGTGCCACCCTTAACCTTGTTCCACCTAGGTGCCAACTCTGCCCTCCATCCAGTCACTCAGTTGCATCTCCTGACCCAGCTGTCTCCAACTAAGACATCAATTCCCAGAATTCTTAAGTCTTGGCCAAGCTGGCTGGAGAATTCTGGGAACTGAAGTCCCTATAACAGGAACAGTTCTCATAATTCTCAGTAATGTTCTTCCTGGCTAGGGGATTCTGGGAGTTGAAGTCCCCACGTATTGGAGGACACCCAGATTGGAGGGAGCCAACCCCAACCCACTTATCCTCTCCTTTAATACTAGATAGTCCTCAACTTACAACAGTTCATTTAGTGACCGTTTAAAGTTACAGTGTCACTGAAAAAAAAATGACTTATGACTGTTTTTTCACACTGATGACCATTGTAGCATCCCCATGGTCACGTGATCCAAATTCAGATGCTTGGCAACTGACTCGTATTTATGACGGCGGCAATGAGGACTACTTGTAATGCTTCCCTGCTCCCAAAATGGTACACAGGTAGTCCTCGACTTACGAGCCCAAAATTTATCGACGATTCACTCTGTAGCCAATTCACTCAAAACGGGGTAAAATGCTGTAAAGAACGGTGACAACAATTCACTTAGTGACGTCGACAAGTTAATCAGTGTGGCGGCAATTCACTTAGACCGAAGGGGAAACTGAAACGAACAGCCTTCCAGCATTTTTCCCCTAGCGGAGTGTGTGTGTGTGTGTGTGTGTGTGTGTGTGGGACACTGCCACCATCATAAACATGAGTCAGCGGTCCAGCATCCGAATATATATCACATGAACGCGGGGATTCTGCTGCCATGGCCATAGATGGGAAAAACGGTCATACGTCGCCTTTTTTCACTGCCATTGTAACGGTGAACGGTCAGTAAATGAACTGCTGTAAGTCGAGGACCACGAGAGAATTCCAGCAGCACCTGAGAATCCAGGAATTTCTGAGCCAGCTTCGCATCTTCCATGGAGCAATTTGCAGAGAAGTAGGTGGAAATTCCCTAAAAACAAGGAAAGAAAGGGGAGAAGTCCCTCAATAGTTCTAGGCGTGGATGTCAGAGCCCCGTCCCAAAGCCCAAACAGCCGATTCCCCCCCCCCAGAAATGGGGCTGAGATGGGCACGAGGGCAATAAATACCTCGCCACTCAGCCCCAAATGCCTCTGGAGGGGCTCCAGGGAGTACATCAATTTCCCACAGGTCTCCCACAAAGCTTCCATCTCTTCCGGGTTTTGCAAAAACGCCTGGCTCGCCCACACCAGCTGCTTCAGTTTTTCCTAAGGGGGGAAAAAAAAGGAACAAAATATAAATCGAAGCAAAAAGAAAAAAATAATAAAAACGAAGAGGGAAAAACGAAAGAAAAAAGAAAACCAAACCGAAACTGCAAGAAAACACAAATGAAAACAAAAGAACTCAATACTAACAACGGGGAGGAGGAAAAAAAAAAGAAATAAAATACAAATAAAGAGGAGAAAAGGAAGAACGGAAGAAAATAAAAACGACAAGAAAACGAAAGCTAACAAGAAAACCAAACTGAAAGTGAGAATTTTTTTTTTAAAAAAATAACAAAAATCAAAGGAAACGCGAAAAAAGAAAAAGGGAAGAAAAAAAATCAAAACTGAAACAAAATGAAAATTTAAAAAAAAAAATGAAAACGAAGAAATCAAAACGGAGCTGAATGAAAACGACAATGAAAAAAAAAATGCTGAAGGCCCAAGAGGGGTGGAGCCACTGCCAGGACTCCACCCCCTCCTCCATCAACCTCTCAGCCAATGAGGGCCAAGGAGCTTTCCAATTGGCTGGAAGGCAGAAGTTCAAACGCTGACCCCACCCCGCAGTCTTCATTCCACGCTCACCTTGGGAAGGCTGGGAACAAATTTGGTGTCACCGAAGGACTTGTAGTTGCCCATATTGGCATAAATGGCTGCTGTGTAAACCAGAAAGGCCTGCAAGGGAGAAGTCCATTTTGTTTGCCTTAATTTTTAACAAAATAACAGACAGCAACAATCAAAAACAAAAAAACCACAACAGTTTTTGCGTCGACAGACAGCGGGAAAAGAAAGATAAACAATCTCCAGGACTTTACCACAAAGTTCCATTTTAGACCCAGGCCTCTTCGATATTGTCATAAATGACTTAGATGAGGGAATTAGAAGGGGAAGTCGTCAAATTGGCAGGTGACACTAAACCAGGGATAGGCAACCTTGGCTCTATTATGACTCGTGGACTTCAACTCCCAGAATTCCTGAGCCAGCCTGGCTCAGCTTGGAAACCTCTCCCTTTCCCCTCAGCGTGGCTGGCTCAGGAACTCTGGGAGTTGAAGTCCACGAGTCATAAAAGAGCCAAGGTTGCCTATCCCTATCCTAGGACGAAGATTAAGAGCAGGGGTCTTCAAACTTGGCTCTTTTATGACTCGTGGACTTCAACTCCCAGAATTCCCGAGCCAGCCACGCTGAGGGGAAAGGGAGAGGTTTCCAAGCTGAGCCATGCTGGCTCAGGAATTCTGGGAGTTGAAGTCCACGGGTCATAAAAGAGCCAAGGTTGCCTATCTCTGCACTAAACTGACAGGAATAGCCAACACCTCAGAAGACATGCTCAGGATCTAGAAGGATCTTGACAGACTTGAACAATGGGCCCTATCCAACAATGTGACATTTATTGTCACGTTTAAACTTAGGCAAGCAAAACCGAAGGAACAAATACAGATTAGGGGAAACCTGGCTCAAAAACAGTAACGGTGAGAGGGACCTTGGAGTCCCAGTGGATGATCACTTAAATATGAGGCAGCAGCCAAAAAAGCTAATATAATCCTTGGTTATATAAACCAGAGGCATAGAATCAAAATCATGTGCACTATTAGTACCGCTTTATAAAGCCTTAATAAAGCCACACCTGGAATACTGCATCCAGTTTTGGTCACATAAAAAAAATATATGTTGAGACTTTGGACAAAGAGCAGAGAGGAGCAATTAAGATGATTAAAGGCCTAGAGACTAAAACATATGAGGAACGGCTGCAGGATTTGGGTTTGGCTAGTCTAGAGAAAAGAAGAAATAGGGGAGACATGATAGCAGTATTCCAGTACTTGAGGGGCTGTCACAAGGAAAAGGGAGTCAACCTATTCTCCAAAGTACCAGAAGGCAAGAAACAATGGATGGAAACTAATCGAGGGGAGAAGCAACCTGAAATTACAGAGAAACTTCCCAACAGTGAGAACAATTAATCAGTGGAACAACTTGCCTCCAGAAATTGTGGGTGCTCCATCAATGGAGGTTTTTAAGCAGAGATTGGAGAGCCATTTGTCTGAAATGGTATAGGGTCTCCTGCTTGAGTAGGGGGCTGGACTAGAAGACCTCCAAGGTCCCTTCCAGCTCTATTCTGATTGGTTTTTAAGAAGAGATTGGACTTCCACTTGTCTGAAATGGCATAGGGTTTCCTACTTGAGCAGGGGGTTGGACTAGAACACCTCCGAGGTCCCTTCCGGCGCTCTTCTGACTGACTGATTACCTGATATTCGTCGTCTGTGATGCCGAGCGAACGGGCCACCTCTTGCAACTGACTTGGGTCCTGGGTTCGGAAGATGCGGGAGAGGAGGACGTAAATGGTAGGAGACTCCGGGGACGTTTGCAAGAGGACCACGAGCCCCCCATACCAGCAAGCGCGTGACAAGTAATGAGCATAGTGTTTCTCTTCCGGCGACAACAGCTCAAAAGCTTCGGCGCAATCCAAGGTCGCGATCCCAATGTCGTTGGGCAAAACGTAGTGGGAGTCCACCATGGCGTCAACCTGGAAAAGAGGAAATCTGAGACATCGTCCTTCAGCCCAGTCACGGTAGGTACTCTCTTATAAAAATATCTTTATTACAAAGACAGCGTTTGGATTAGTAGTTAAAGCATCGGGCTGGAAACTGTCAGACGGTGAGTTCTAGTCCCACATTAGGCTTTAAAGGCAGCTGGGTGACTTTGGGCCAATCCCCAGGAGACGGTGAGTTCTAGTCCCGCCTTAGGCATGAAAGCCAGCTGGGTGACTTTGGGCCAGTCCCTCCCTCCAATTCATCCCACCTCACAGGGTTGTTGTGGGGAAAGTAGGAAGAGGAAAGTGTGTTGGATATGTTTGCCGCCTTGAGTTATTTATAAATAAAAGAAAGTCAGGATGGAAATTAATAAATGAAGGAGGGGAAGGAAGGAAGGAGAGATAGGAAGGACGGAGGGATAGGAAGGAAGGAGAGATAGGAAGGAAGGAGAGATAGGAAGGAAGGAAGGAAGGAAGGAGAGATAGGAAGGAAAGAAGGAAGGAAAGGAAAGATAGGAAGGAAGGAAGGAAGGAGAGATAGGAAGGAAGGAAGGAGAGATAGGAAGGAAGGAAGGAAGGAGAGATAGGAAGGAAGGAAGGAAGGAGAGATAGGAAGGAAGGAGAGATAGGAAGGAAGGAAGAAAGGAGAGATAGGAAGAAGGAAGGAAAGGAAAGATAGGAAGGAAGGAAGGGCCCCTCTTTCCTTAATACATCCCCAATACCTCAGATTCTTCCTGAATTCAAGCAGCAACCGCCAGACATAAAATCTGTTGCTCTAAATCTGAAAAAGAAGGGGGGGGAAAAACACCAAACCCATATTCACATTCTAACGTTTTACCTGAAGAGGGGCAATCATTCGGGGGCACTTTTTATGGCTCTGGGGGGGGGGGCAGGCTGAGCCCTGCTTCGTATCCCGAGAGTCCTCCTCTTCCCTTCCCTCCCGGCCATTTCCAGGTAGGGCTGGGGAAGGAACTGCCTTTCCAAAAGGCTGGAAAGCCCTTGCCAGACAGGGCTGGCCATGCTAAATCAGGCGCTCCAAGGTTCAGGAGCAACCAGCTTCCTCGGACGGTAACCCTTCCTCCCTTCCAAAACATGAGGACCAGAAACTTGCTTTTTAAATGAGCCCGGCTGCAGCCGCAGGGTTCCCAGGCGACACCCCCCTCCTGGAACCTTTGGGGAACCTGCCACCGGCTTCGAGGATGCCCCCTTCCCCCCACAATGCAGGTTGCGGTGAGACCCGGGTGGGTACACGTGTGCCCCCCCCGTTCCCACGACTCCCGCACCCACCAGCCCTCCGCGCCCACGTGACCGCCCCGCGCGACTCCGCTCCGCTCGCGGTCCTCCTCACCTGCGGCTCGCCTGCTCGCGCGACTTCCAACTTCCTGCCACGCCCCCTGCTCGGTTCCGGGTAAGCCGCGAACGCTAGCCCACCTGTGCGGGAGGGGGGCCTTCGTGCGTCGGTTACTCCGAACTATCGCCGCAACGAACCTCTGGCTTCTGGGCGGAAAAGACAAAAAAAAGAAAACCAAGCTAAAAAAAAAGAACGAAGGAACTAAAAGAGACCGAGAAAAATACTAACAAAGAGAGAAAGAAGGAGCGAGGGAGATTCCTTATTCTCTTTTCCTTTCTTGCTTCCTCGCTCCCTGCCTCCTTCCCTCACATTCTCTCCTTCCTTTTTTCCTTCCCTCCCATTCTTTCCTCCCTCCCATTTTTTTCTTCCTTCCTTCTCTCCAATTCTTTCCTCCCTCCCATTTTCTCCTTCCTTCCTTCCTTCCTTCTTCTCCTTCCTTCCTTTCCTCTCTCCAAGTCTTTCCTCCCTCTCATTTTTTTCCTTCCTTCCTTCCTTTTTCTCCTTCCTTCCTTTCCTCTCTCCAATTCTTTCCTCCCTCCCATTTTTCCTCCCATTTTCTCCTTCCTTCCTTCCTTCCCTTTTCTCCTTCCTTTCTTCCCTCTCTCCAATTCTTTCCTCCCTCCCATTTTTCCTTCCTTTTCCCCTCCCATTCTCCTTCCTTCCTTCCTTCCTTTCCCCTCCCTCCCTCCCTCTTTCTTCCCTTCCCTTCCTTTCCTTTTCCTCCCCTCCCCTCCTCCCACTCTGGTTTTTCTTCCATTCCCTTCTTTCCTCTTTTCCTTCAGTTTCATTGTCTCCTTCCTTGATTTTCCTTCCTTCTTCCCATTTTCCCTCTTCCTTTTCTCCTCCATATTTGCACAAGGGATAGCAATGTCTGGTTATAGACCCACCAAAGTGTCTGGCAATGACCCCAACTTATAGATGTTCTCTGGTTTGGGGACTGCTTCGAAGCCGCAAGCTTTTGTGGGAAGCCACAAGTCAATGTGGGTTACTTCAAACTTCATCCTTTAAGGTGGTTGGACTTCATCTCCCAGAATTCCCCAGCCAGCATGCTTTAAGAGGGGTGGATGTCCCCCTCTCTTAGCCTAACCCAGGGGGTCTTCAAACGTGGCAACTTTAAGACTTGTAGACTTCAACTCCCAGAATTCCTCAGCCAGCCCTGCGAGTTGAAGTCCACAAGTCTTAAAAGTTGCTCAGTTTGAAGACCTCTGGCCTGACCCACCTCGCAGGATTGTGGTGGGGCCGCTACAAGGAAGCACCTTATGTATGCCACCTTGAGTTGTACAAAATAAAGGCAGGAGAAAATCTCAGACGGAACACAAATAAGAGACCCACACAGTATAATGGATATATATATATATCTCTGTGTTAGCAACAGCAAAGCTCTCCTGGGCCCCCACCGATCCAAACACGGATCTAGGCTGGGTTCACACAACGCCCTTAAACCTGGGTTAAAGAAATCGCAACGGCAGCGTGCAGATCGCCTACAGTGCCCAAGCAACGGAGTTTCGATTCGAGCTTCCTCTGTCGATTCATACCCTGTTTGAAGATAATCGGCTGGCTTTCGTAGCCCCTGCACCCCAAAACGACGCAGTCCCAATTCAGAATCCCAGCTATCCTGGGTTGGTGCCAACCTCTGCTTCTCGGAGCAGCGAAGACGAGTTCTAGACAGGAAGGGAACGACTGGGCCATGGGGAGGGGTGAGGACGGGGAGGCAGACCGAGGAGAATCTGTCTCCCCAAATTGGAATCTAATCCCCCCCCCAAATGCTCAGATGGGGAAGAGATGCGTTGGCCGTCCGGCCGATGCACAGTCTAATACAATCAAATGACGAGATTGAGTGGTCCACGGCGGCCCAACGGAGCTTGTGGTTTGTTCTCCGTCTCCCCACGCCAGGCAGGCCGGGCTGCCCCCCCATCTTTCCAACTCAATCGAGGGGTCCCTGGAAAATGAGCCGGACGAAACCCTGCTGGCCGGTCAGCCAGGTGCTGCAGAAGGGGCAGGCAGCGTGGAAGGCGTGGGTGCCGTGCGGCAGTGGGATCTGTGACCAGTACTGGACAGTCTTCGCAGAACAGACATGGCCGCAGGGGCAGAAGGCGTGGGTGGGCCGTCCGGCGTCCAGATACAGCCCGGCCTCGCAGCCCAGCCAGAGAGGCACGTAGGGGCCCAGCCGCCGGCACATGGGGCATTCGCGCTCCAGGCCCCCTTTCTCCTTACGGAACCCCCAGTTGTGAAAGCCGTGGACGTGGCCGCAGTTGACGTAGACCCAGGGCTGCTGCTTCTCCACCACGCCCCGCTGGGCCAGGCTGGGGAACGCCAGGGTGCTGAAGCCCACCGGGCACTGGGGCCGGGCGGCGTTGATCTCTTGGCGCAGCACCTCCAGCTGTTGCAAAGTTGGGGTGCGCAGGAGCCCCTCCGAGGTGCGCCAGAGGAGCGTGGCCCCGCAGAGGTCAATGAGGGAGCCGTCCTGGAGAACGTTGGACTCCGTTTCCACCTGGCAAAGGGGGGGGGGAAAGAGAGATTAGCGTATGCCGTGGCCACATTTGATGCGCCAAAGAGTTTAAAGGAGAGGCTCCCGCCACGCTTATGCCCTGGATTGACTAGTTATAGTCCTCAACTTACAACAGTTCATTTAGTGACTATAACTTAGATATAAATTTGTCTGAATCATTGTATTACATTGCATTGCATTCCTCTTCGCTCTCCACTCCAGTCCATTCTTATCCTATCCTACTATAGTATTATTCTATTCTATTCTATTCTATTCTTTATTCTTATTCTATTCTTACTCCAGTATTATTCTATTCTATTCTATTCTATTCTATTCTATTCTATTCTATTCCATTCCATTCCATTCCTATTCCAGTATTATTCTATTCTAGTATTATTCTATTCTATTCTTGTTTCTATTCTATTCTTGTTTCTATTCCTATTCCTATTCCTATTCCTATTCTATTCCTATTCCTATTCTATTCCTATTCCTATTCCTATTCTATTCCTATTCCTATTCCTATTCCTATTCTATTCCTATTCCTATTCCGATTCCTATTCCTATTCTATTCCTATTCCTATTCCTATTCCTATTCCTATTCCTATTCCGATTCTATTTCTATTTCAATTTCTATTTCATTCCATTCCATTCCATTCCTACTCCAGTATTATTCTATTCTAGTATTATTCTATTCTATTTTTGTTTCGGTTTCGGTTCTGTTTCTGTTCTACTCGAGTTCCAGTCCGCTCTTGCTCGTCTGTCTCCATTGCATTGCCCACCTACCAGCTTTCCCCGCTGCTGTGCTGAGCGACTGTCCCGCAGGGCATAGACGTTCCCGCACACCGAGATCTCCCGCCAGACCCCCGGGGTGGAGTCTTCGCTAAAACCGCCATTGGGGTGCATCACCAGCACGCCGTTCGTGGTCAAGCCATCCATGAGCCCGTCAGGAGTCCTCCATTTCGCGGCTCTCTCCTGCCAGAAAAAGGATCCATTTAGGAACCAGGGTTAACGTATTGTGCGAATGCAACTATACCAACATGCATGCACAGGCGTGCGCACATGCACACAACATACACACACATATGTGCACACACACACACACACACACAGAGCTGCTCGGTGACTCACTCACTCCAAGGAAAATGTTGCGGGACGCGTCGAAACCGGCAGCGTAAATCCGGGCGGTGTACGGAGGGTTCCTTTCACAGATGACGCGGCAGGCAAAACGGGATATAGTACTTTGGGCCGTCTGTCCATCCACGGAGGAGTTTGTCCCCGGCGTGGTGTCGGTCACCACAAAATCAATCATGCTCTCCGTCGAGCGGCCGATCTGGGAACAGAGAGATGGGGTGGGGAGACGCGATCAAGGACTAAAACTTTTAACGAGAACTGAGCGTTTTTCCTTTTTCACCACGTGGACATTTTTCCTTCTCTCCAAAAGGCCGATTTTTATTTAATTTAAGATGAGCACTGCAGTCCAACCCCAAGGACACAGACAAACCCCCAAAGTAGCCTCAATGACCCTCTCAAAGAAGGCAAATGACCAGCAGTCTGCAAGGAGTATAAATCCTTTCCATTCCCCACTATTCGGTCAGAGCTGAAGAAGCTCCTTGGAGGAGAAGCGAAATGCCTTCAAAGAAAAGCAAGGAAGCCCAGTTGCCTCCTGAAAAAGCACCTTTGGGACAATTTCGAACTGTTAAGTTGGCAGGAGCTGAGGCGAAGATGGGAACTCGCCCCGTAATGTGGTGCTCGGGTCTCGAACCGGGACAGCCGACAAGCCCAGTCTCTTTAACCACTAAGCCAGGGGTAGGCAACCTTGGCTCTTTTATGACTGGTGGACTTCAACTCCCAGAATTCCTGAGGCAGCATGAGGGAAACTTTGGCCCCTTCATGACTGGTGGACTTCAACTCCCAGAATTCCTCAGCCAGCATGGGGAAACTATGGCCCCTTCATGACTTGTGGACTTCAACTCCCAGAATTCCTCAGCCAGCAAGGGGGAACTATGGCCCCTTCATGACTTGTGGACTTCAACTCCCAGAATTCCTCAGCCAGCGTGGGGGAACTATGGCCCCTTCATGACTTGTGGACTTCAACTCCCAGAATTCCTGAGCCAGCGTGGCTCAGCTTGGAAACCTCTCCCTTTCCCCTCAGCATGGCTGGCTCGGGAATTCTGGGAGTTGAAGTCCATGAGTCATCAAAGAGCCAAGGTTGCCTACCCCTGCACTAAGCCATTGTGCCACCCAGTCTACTGTGATTCTCCCCCCAAAATTTGCCTTTTTATAGGGCCTAAACAGCTTCCCCTTGGTCTGTCCTCCCTCAGGTCATCTCTGGAGGGCCAGCAAAGGTGTTCGCTCCCTCCGCCGGGCACGTTAAGTACCTGGAACATGTCCGTCTCGCCATCTTGAGTGTATTCCACAATGACCGAATGGCTTCGGGAAAGCGTGTAGGAGATGCTGTGTTGACCTCTGTCGCTCAACGCCTGTCGGAGCAGACAAGGAAAAAGTTGGAATACAGTCAGTCCTCGGGTTACAACGACACGTGTGGCCAGGATTTCCCTTGCTAAGCGAGGCGGGTGTTAAAGTGAATCACACCCAATTTTACAACTAGTTTATTTTTTTGTATGCCGTATTTCTTAAGTTGTTAAGTGAATCACATGGTCATTAAGCAAATTTGGCCTCCCCCCCCCATTGATTTTGATTGTGATAAGGTCACAAATAGCAATCGTGTGACCCGGGGATGCTGCAAACGTCATTCAGGCTGATTGGCAAGTGTCTAAATTTTGATCCTCTGACTGTGGGGATGCTGGACGTAAGTGTGAGGACCGATTATAAAACAGTCGCTAAAACAGGGGTTGCAAATCGGTATTTCATTTTATTTTGATCGTTCTCCCACAATCCAGCCTCGATGTTTTCTCTCTCTCAAGTCCGCGACTTTCATGGCACCCAACTAAATTAACCCCTCGGTTCAAATGGAATAAAATGGAATTAAAATTCTATCCCATCCAGACGAAACGTCTATTTCAATCATAAAAACGCCCTTCAGACAAAGTTTCCAACTCGGAAGCGGGAAACCGGGCCCGCGGGGACGCTCACAAAATGGCTCCCGCTGTAGCAACAGAACAGAAAGCAAAATGGCGGATGCTCCCCACCATCTGCTCTGCACCCCCCTGCCCATTTTCTTTGTCTTTCAGGGAAGGACAAAGCCCTGAGTTTTACCGTCCTCCTAGCATAGGTAGTCCTCGATTTACGACTACAACCGAGCCCAAAATTTCTGTTGTTAAGTGAGACAAGTGAGTTTTGCCTCATTTTACGACCTTTCTCGCCACAGTTGTTAAGTGAATCGCTTCAGTTCTGAAGCGAGCAACACGGTTGTTAAGTGAATCCGGCTTCCCCCGTCGACTCTGCCTGTCAGACGGTCGCAAAAGGGGATCACGCGACCCCCCAGGACGCTGCGACCGTCGTAAATACGAGTCAGTTGCCAAGCGTCTGGATTTTGATCGCCTGACCATGGGGGACGCTGCAACGGCCGTAAGTGTGAAAAACGGTCCTAAGTGGTTTTTTTCAGGGCTGTTCTAATTTTCGGACGGTCGCTAAATGAACTGTTGTAAGTCGAGCGTTACCTTTTAATTCTGACTATATTCCTCATTCAGAGCCAGCGAGGTGGTTCTGGATGGGGCAGGAAAGGAACTTTGCACATGCTCAGAATCCCTCTTTTCACACAGTCTGAGGTTTAAAAAGCTCCACAGTGAGGCTTGGCAATCCCATTGCTGGAGGGGGGAGAGGGACATATCTGCAACCAGGGAGGGTCACTTGACTTACTTTGGACATAAGTGGGGTGGAGATATGGTGGATAATGTCAGGTTTGACCCCGTTGGGTTTGGGTCGCTTGTAGAGGGCCAGACGGCTCCGGTGACGTCCTTTATCTCCATTAGGCAGAGAGCCATTGTACCTGCATTGTGGGAGAGACAGAGTAACAGAATAACAGTTATTGGAAGGGACCTGGGAGGTCATCTAGTCCAACCCGGAGTTACGAACCTGGACAAGATGAAACGCAACATCGCTTATCACAGCCAACCAAGCCCAATGATCTCACCGGATTCCCATTTTCTTAAAATTAATAATAATAATAATAATAATAATAATAATAATAATAATAATAATAATAATAATAATAATAATTTGGATTGAAGTTTAAAAGTGCAAGACAAAAAAAAACCCCACTGATATAAAGTTGGAAATATTGAAAACGAAGGGGGGGGAAAAAAACAAAAAAAAACAAATGTGCTACAGTGGAGATGTTTGAAACCAATATAGAATAACAGAGTTGAAAGGGATCTTAGAGGTCATCTAGCCCAATCCCATGCTCAAGCAGGAGACCCTTACAGAATCATAGGATAACAGAGTTGGAAGGGACCTCGGAGGTCATCTAGCCCAACCCCCTGCTCAAGCAGGAGACCCTTACAGAATCATAGGATAACAGAGTTGGAAGGGACCTCGGAGGTCATCTAGTCCAACCCCCTGCTCAAGCAGGAGACCCTATACCATTCCAGGCAAGTGGCTGTCCAGTCTCTTCTTAAAAGCCTCCACGGATGGAGGATCCACAACTTCTGGTGGCAAGCTGTTCCACTGGTTAATTGTCCTTCTGGTTAGGAAGTTTCTCCTTGGTTCCAGGTTGCTTCTCTCCTTGACTAGTTCCCATCTGTTGCTTCTTGTCCTGCCTTCTGGTGCTTTGGAGAAGAGGTGACTCCCCCCTCTTCTTTGTGGCAGCCCCTCAAATACTGGAACAGTGCTAACATGTCATCCCCCCCCTCCCATAGTCCTTCTTTTCATTAGGTTATATTCCCAGTTCCTACAACTGTTTGCTTTACCCTCCAGTCACTTAAAACCTAGGAAAAAAACTAGGAAAAATGGTTTAACTTACCCCAGGACAATCAACTCCCCGTACTTCACCGCTTTTTTGGTTAACAGGAGACTGTCCCCTGCCGAAGGGTAAAAACGCCCATTCTGGGCACAGGTCCGTCGCAGATCAAGCGAATGAGAACTCACAGCTTCAGTGCTTCCTTCTAGAACCATCCTAGGGGGAAAAAAAGGGTTGTGTGAATCGGGAGGAAAATGCAGCTATTTTAACTAGAAGTACAGGGTGGGGGGACAAACTTTCTTTTGCTTTAAATTCGGGCTGCAGTTCGAGTCTTGCAAAGGTCCGCTTTGGCGCGGAGAAAAGACCAAAAAAAAAAGGAATAAAACAAAGGAACGCGGTTTGCAAATTCGCAAGGTAAATTTGGCAATCGATCATGCAGAAGTGATGCAGCACTGTTCTCTTTTAAGGCAGTTTTTTTAATAAAATTATTCCTAGCTGAATCTGTGGTTCTGGTCATTCTGTTTATATAGGACTGAAGGCCAGTCTGGATCAGCTCCCGGGGACAATCTGGATGTGTTTCTTGACTTTTTAAGATGGTTGGACTTCAACTCCCAGAATTCCCCAGTCATCCTTCTTTATGGTGAGTGGGGTTCAACTCCCAGAATTCCCCAGTCGGCTTGCTTTGAAGATGAGTGGACTTCAACTCCCAGAATTCCTCAGCCAGCCATACTGGTTGGGGAATTCTGGGAGTTGAAGTCCACCCATCTTAAAGCTGTCAAGGTTGAGAAATAACTGACTTGGACACTGGAAATAAATTTTTGGACTTCCCAATCTGCTTTTTCTGCTGGTCTTCCATCCAAATATTAACCAGCTTTGGCCTGGCTTAGCGACTCAGGATTAGCCAAAGGTCAGAGGTTAATCTTCTTAGATCCTAAGCACTTCTATCTTAGCACAGCAGAAGATGTAGTTTGTCCTTGCGCAACAACACCCCTGGAAGGTAGGTTGAGAGAGAGGTATTGCCCCAGAATCCACCCCCTCCAGGGATTTTTGTAGCTGTAGGAGGATTTGAACTCGGGCCTTATCCTCACCTAGCCTGGCATCTTTCTGAACGCAAAACCCGGGTCGTTTGAATCCAAACCTCTTCCGGTCATCCCCAACTTGCAACCGTCCATTTAGCGAACCCTTCCAAATTGCAACAACAGCGCTGAAAAAAAAGTGACTCACCACCGTTCCTCGCACTTACGACCGTCACAGCATCCCCACACGGTCCCGCGATCAAAACATTCGGGCCCTGCCTGGGCCAACCTGCGATCTTTCCCTCCGACGAGCAAAATCGTCGGGGGACCCTAACCCTGACCCTCACCACTGCGTCATTCACACAACAGCAGGAGTTGATTCGCTTAACGACCGTGGCAAAAATAAATAAATAAATAAATAAATAAATAAACCATAAAAGCCGGCGCACCTGACTTAAGCCACCGCCTTGCTTAGCGACGGAAATTCTGGCCCCATCTGTGGTCGTTAAGACGAGGTTATCTGTTGAGCTGGACCGAAATTTACTCCCCGGGATTCAGAGAGCAGCCTGGCCTAGCTTGGTGCTCTAGACATGCTCAGAAGCTCACGAAGACCGGACGTCATGTCATCGCCAAGCAATTCTTCCCATCTGTGCATGGCTTTGTTGATTTGCGATATTGAATTTTTTTTTTCTCTTTTTCTTCCCCCTCTAAGGATTGTAAACACATTTAGAATCTCCGGGTTTCAGAAGGGTTCTTCCCAGTCCTGAAAGTTGCCATGGCGACAGTCCTAAACTACCTCCGCACTGTTACTACGGCAGCATTTCAGATATTTAATGCCTCTGTTGCCAAGGCAACATCCTCTTCTCCATCCTGGTCCCCACCAGAAAAGGAAGCAGTTAGAGGCTTCAAAACATTTAAAAAATAATAATAATAAAAATAAAATAAATCCAACCACCTCCTGTTCTGGATCTGGGCTCACTTTGCCAAAACCTGCATCTTTTTTTCCTGGGTTCACACGACCTAAGCAACCGAGCGAAAGATCTAAACGGCTTTGCATTCACACAGACAAAAGCTGGAGAGGTTTGGACCTGGGTGTCTTGTATTTTTTTTTGTTTTTTGTTTCCTGGCTTTGAGTATAGTGTGAGCGAGTCTGTTGGATGGCTGGTGCTTTGCGATGGGTTGCCGTTCTGAACGACGGCTGAATTCGGGCACACAACTGCAGGTTGTGTGGACCCAGCTGCGGTGTGCCCTCCACACACGCAGAAATTTTTTCCCCACCTTTCCCTAACCCCCAAGTTTAAGAAAACAGAATGTGGGTTTTGCAAAGGGCCACACTTTTTTGCATTTACACCCCTCCTCCCCCTCCAATCTGGAACACAACGAGAACACGCAGAACGTAAATGGCTTTGCACCAACTAGGTGATTTTAGTCACTCAAATTTTTCTGCACAGATTGCAGAATACAGAGAAAATATCAGCGTCTGTCTTCACATACTTAATTTCGTTGTGAGTTACACAATGACAATAAAGCTATTCTATTCTATTCTATTCTATTCTATTCTATTCTATTCTATTATTATTTTTCAGGGGGGGGGGGAAACACAGCCACAAAGCAACGGAACCAAACCTTCATTGTTTGCTTGCGAGGATCCTGAACTTCGTTTGTTCTTATTACCTTTTGATTTACAGATCCCCAAATTGGTAGCTGGGCCTTTTCTTAACATTAGACTCATGTCTATTTTGCCGCTGCAAAATTTCTCCCTGCCGACAAACACCCCCCCACCACCAAGGCTGGGTTGCAAAGATCTTCCCCCCCCACCCCCCAAAAAATATTAGATTTATTTTATCATCATCCATTGGAGAGAAACCCCCATTCTGGCGAATGGTCAATTATTCAAAAGGTTAACTTCATTCCCTTTAAAAAGTAAAGGTATCTCCCTTGAAAATCAAAAGATTCTTTTAGGAATGCCTCGATTGGAGGGTCCTCAATCTTTGGGGGTAGGAGGAGGTGGAGGCGGAGGACATTTGTGGGCACTGTCACAAAATGGCTGCTGGGGGGGAAACAGGCTGGTTCCCCAAACAGCAGATATGGGTAACAGAGCTCGTATTTTAATTTTGGAAGAAATACTTGTGGGGCCCAAAGCCACAGTATTCGAGGCTGGTGTTTTTGGTTTTTTTAAAAAATTAAAAAAATATTAAAATATGGAAAATACCAAGAGGGGAATATAGCCTTGTGGGGGTTTCCAGGAAGGTGTTTGCAATCATGTTGTTGCCCCTGGGCGCCCCATCGGAGACCCAAACTCTCAAATGGAGGAACAGAGAATGTTTGAAGAGGTTGAAATTAATTAAAATTGTGCAGACGATTTCAATGTCTTAATCTGGGGTTCTGAATTTTGAAAATTTGGGATATTTTTTTTTAAAGAAAGCTAGAAAGGGGGCAATACCTGTGCCAACTTTTTAAGATTTATTTTATGATTTGGAGCCAGGGGGATAGGAAGGAACTATAAAGGATTAAACTCCAAATTCTTTCTTTCTTCCTTCCTTCCTTCCTTCCTTCCTTCCTGTCCGTCCGTCCGTCCGTCCGTCCGTCCGTCCATCCATCCATCCATCCATCCATCCATCCATCCATCCATCCATCCTTATTATTTATTAAGTTCTAAATGGGGGCTTAAGCAAACCTGTCTTTCTAGATGTGTGGACTTCAAACCCCAGACTGTTCTAGCTTGGAATTCTGGGAAATGATGTCGACCCATCTGGAGAATTCTGGAGTATGAATATTTTGGTGAGACAGCCTAGTCAGAGAAGTTGGTTCAAACAATAAACAAGGCTTATATATATATATATAAATCCAACACTGAGATTCTAACATCAGATTTGTAATCATATATTGTGTTTAAACCATGGTTAGTTAGGCATGGCTATTGAATAAAGCACAATTGACTCAGTCCTCACTATACACAATTACCCTAAACCTGGATTCATAATCCATAATAACTGGGATTCTAGCTGTTGGGCTGAGCAAAATCATTAAATTACCACACATTTATGCAAATCATACCAATAATTCCAGCCAAATAAAACCTCCTCCACCCAGATTAATAGCTACTGATTCATACTAATGTTTTCCAAACATGAAAAGCAAAAGCTGGTTAGATTATCGTGACCTATTTATCAGTCATCTACTTAATTGTGGTTTATGGGATTAATCTCGCATTCTGGTTTGGGATTACATACAACTACAGCATCCACTAACCACAGGAGCGAAATTTGCACAAGTCTGAAACTCGTGGCTTTCAACCTTTATGAATCTACAGCACAATAACTGAATATAATATTAATTCTGGGGCACCCCAGAAAGTGATTAATCGTACAGATGTATTTTTCAACCTGTAAAGCACTGAAAAAAGTGACTTAAGACCATTTTTCACACTTACGACGGTTGCAGAGCCTCCCCCCGTGGTCACATGATCAAAATTCAGACGCTTGGCAACTGGCTCATATTTATGACGGTCGCAGCATCTCCCGGGGTCCTGTGATCCCCTTTTGCAACCTTCCGACAAGTCCATGGGAAAGCCAGAGTCACTTCACAACCACATTACTAACTTAACTGCAGTGATTCACTTAACAACTGTGGCAAGATAGGTCGTAAAATGGGGCAAATTCACTTAACGTCTGTCTCACGTAGCTGGGCTCAATTGTGGTTGTAAATTGAGGACTACCTTATATAATACAAGATATACATAATACAAAAAAAAAAACCACAACCCATCAAAAGTCTCCTGGCACACTGCACACTGTCGTGGGACACCCGTGTGCTGCGAGAAGCTGGTTAACAACCACTATCTTAGATTACCTTAGATTACCTAGGGTGTCGTGAGAACACAGCCCACAAAGGATCCAAAAGGATCCAAAAGGAATTTATTGTTTTTATTATTGCCTGTTCACCGCCCTGAGTCCCGTAAGGGAGATAGGGCGGTATATAAATTTAAATTTAAATTTAAATTTAAATTTAAATTTAAATTTAAATAATAATAATAATAATAATAATAATAATAATAATAATAATAATAATAATAATAATAAATAATCAGCTGCACACAAGAGCATTTTCCTGTTTGCGTTATCACTGGCAATTTTACCTGTTCTTCAAGCTCCCAACGCTTCTCCAAACTCTCACCAAAGATGAAGAAAAAAATAAAT